CAGACTACCTTCACGGATTTTTATCTCCCGTCCTTGGCTTCTCATTCTGATGGATTGTCTTCCCTTGGACCGGTGGTGGTTGCACAGTCTGTGGCTGTTCCTCCACAGTAATTCAGTGATTTTAAATAGTATGCTATCAGGCACCACAATGGTACACCTGCTCGTTTCATGGGGAGGTTTTCCATTTTTTAATTACTTTCGGGGCTTAGTTAGGGGGGTTCCTTGAACCTTTTCTCTACCTTGAGCATGTCTCTAGTTTGCTCCGTCAGCCTGGTCTGCCTGGATTCGAAGCCTCCACTACGGTAAGCCGAATTCGCATACTAAAGTTATGGTAATTATTACTGAAATGAAATTGAGGTTTTTGAAGTAAAACCAATTTTGATGATGTAATACTTACCATAACTTTAGTAGTATGCATATACAATACCTACACCCATCTTTGTAGCCCAAAAACAAAAGATTCAAATATCCCTACCTCTCTACCGTGAGGTAACCCATATCTCGATGACAGAGCCACGGAGTGATCTCCCTTCCTCAAACCCCTTTTATGGAGCCTAAAGGCAGCCGGGATGAGGAGGCAAGGGGAGGAATACAGGGTGGGACTCCATAAAGTTATGGTAAGTATTACATCATGAAAATTGGTTTTACTTCAAAAACCTCAAGTTTACACTAAGGTGGTCAGTTGTGATGATAGTGAGTTATAGTCTATTGCAGAAATGGTGTACAGGTAAATTGCACAGGTAAATCAACTTCTGATAAGTTATCAGTTAATCAATAACTGCTAATAATTGCAAAATAATAATAATAACAGTTTTCAGAATCCGACAAATTTATTTTTAGAGTTCCAATCCCAAGCTGTTAAATGGGTAATGTATAAAACAGCAGCACATTTGGGAGAATTATCATATTTCACTCTGTACTTATATCAACTTCTGTACTCAGTGAATGTGAATTTTGTACGGTATTCAGAATTTGTAATTGTTTTAGTTAAACTTGTATTTTTTTCAAATTATATGAATTATCATATATTATTATGATATATTGGTTAAATTTTGTATTTTCAGATTAATGTGCATTCTCTTATAATTATTGTCATATATTAGTTAAACTTATACTTATTTTCAGGTTTTTATGAATTGTGTTTAACTTATGTGACTTCAGTTTGATATTATATATATCTGTTATGTTTTAATACAAATACTTCCTCGGCTATGGTGGATTCCCTGAACACCAACTCTGGAAAATTGAAAGGAAGGTGTTTATATAGGAAATGATTGATTTAGAAAACTTTATATATGGACTTAAAACTAGCATGCAATGGTTCACTTTCAGGCTTCTTTCAAGAATACTTCCACTTAATCATTATTTGAAAATAATTGGAATCAAACAATGTGATTTATGTAATTTATGCCAAGAAAGCAAAGAATCTATAGAACATCTTTTTTATCAGTGTCAAATAACAAATAACTTCTGGCAAGACATACGTAGATGGATATACTTAAAAACTGACCAAACATTCATAATAAAGGAAGTTATTATACTTTTTGGCAAAACTTCTGAATTCCAAAAATCCATTCCAACTAATATCATGATTCAGGCAAAATTCTTCATCTACTTTAGCTCCAGAAAGGTTTACTGTTTATATTTATGTTTAATAATGATCTTTTAGTGCTGTATTAAATGCGTATTACTGTTATATGTAGGAATAGAAACTGTATTTTATTGCTGACATTAGTATCAATGTGGTTTAAATTAAGGAATTTTCTTTTTCATATAATGTAATGTTATTTTTCTTTTTCATTTAATTTGATATTTAATGATTGAATAAAAAATTGTTATCCATTTTATTATTGGCTTTAGTATCATATCTTCAAAATGAGTTGACATTCTTAGTTGAAACAGGCTTTAACTAAACTTCAAAGGATTTCCTATATAAACACCTTCCTTTCAATTTTCCAAAGTTGGTGTTCGGGGAATGAGCCAGGTTACAGTATGCACACAAAATAGAGATTGGGGATGTCCAATGATAGACGCAGTACAATTTTTTTTATTATTTTTTTTAAGTCAAGGGCAGGGGAGTCTAGTGTGCTGGTAACACCCCCCCTTGGATCCGCCTCTGTTTGTATCTTCCACCATATAAATCTTTCCACCCCCATATAATACCTTTTTACTCCAAAAAATACTCTCTAGTCATAAAATATGTTTTCATTCCATAAAAACCTGTTTACCCTCCACCATAGCTTGATTCAATTAACATGTGCTCTATACTTACTTGAGATACCTACACCATGCACCACCTAAACTAACTTAATTATAAAATTGTTCCTAAAATATAAACGTGTATAAGTGTTCTCTGTAACACAATACTATATGAAAATATTAACAGGTTGATAAAAAGCAGATTTTCTGTAATATATGAATGGACGTAATGATTAATTGAAAAATTCAATTTTAGCTGTCACCATAATGTACGTATCATTTACTGCTTTTCATTATATGTTTTTCAATTTCAAAAGTATTTTATTTACGGATTAACTTCAAACTTCACAACAAGGTTAATTACCATGAAACCTCAGACAAGTTCGATCACCGCCATTATCCGACCATAATTTGTGGAGTTATGCCCCTTTATGGATTTGTCGAAACAGTGTCCGCTCGATATCTCGAGTAATTATTAACGGATTAACTTCAAACTTCACAACAAGGTTAATTACCATGAAAGCTTTTAATATCAATTACTCACAAATACTTCATATATTTCAATCATACAAACAACTGCTCTTTCAATGTGTGACGGGCGTATTATATACCGCTCGCAGTAACCTTGTATTTAATTGGTCTGATGCATTACTAATACCATATACTAAACAGTACAGATTTAAATATCCTAATAGATTATAAATAGTGGTAATATGATGCCCAATATTTGAATACAGAGGACATTGAAAGAAAAAATGTATTAGATCTTCCCTCTGTACACCACATACATAGGAAGCATCATCAATCAGATGGTCTTGTAACTTATCAAAGTTAAGATCACTTTTAAAATTTCTTAGCTCGACATAAAATGATGTTAAGTTTCCTCGGAACACAGTTAATAGAAGTTTCTGAGACAGATTTTTTAAAGTTTTTTTTAAGTTTCTTTTTAAAAGATGAAATTGAGATGGAGTCTTGTACAGTGCTATCAAGTGCATTCCATTTTACCATTGAGTAGTAGTTCTTGTCTGTGGTATATTAAAGAATCTGTTATTTCTAAAGGTATAGTTATTATTTACATTTAGAAATGGTTGAATGATATTATCGAGATAAGTTGGAGTGTAATTATTAAGAATCTTATACATTAATGTTAGTTTATGATTTTGTCTTCGTGTGTGTAATGTTTCAAATTGTGTTTCAGTATACAGAATGTGATGAGATGTACTACCTCGTCTGAGGCCAGTAATTAAACGCATAGCTTCTTCTAGTTGAACTGATTCTAAAAGATCTGATTCAGATTTGGTACAATTATCCCATACTATATCAGAATATTCTAGCACAGGTCTTATATAAGAGACATATAATGTTTTTAATGTATTCCTATCAACTGTAGTTTTTAAAATTCTAAGAATACTTAGTCTAGAGTTCGCTTTTTTATAAATATTTGAAATGTGATCTGACCATGTCCCTTTACTGTTAAATGTTAGTCCTAAGTGAGTATGGTGTTCATGTTGTGCAATCGGAGTATTGTTAAATAGCAGTTGAGGATGATTGTTAATGTGTCTACGAGAGAAGTTAATAGCTACAGTCTTATTCGGATTGAATAGGATCTGCCATTGCTTTGACCATTCAGAGATTGAGTCAAGCTAGATCATCATTAAGCATGTTATATTAGTAGGTGTTGTAAGGTCATTGTTATTATTTACTATTACATAGAGAGAGGTATCATCTGCAAATAGTTCTATATGAGAAGTTACATTATTAGTAATATCATTAATAAAAAGAAGAAAGAGGAAGGGACCAAGGACAGATCCTTGAGGAACCCCTGAAGAAATAGGTTTGGTACTAGATTTATAACCTTCAAAGTTACCCCTTTGTTTTCTGTCAGATAAGTAAGCTTTAAACCAATTGTATAATTTACCTTTAATACCATATGTTTTTAGTTTATATAATAGGCCCAAATGCCATACTCGATCAAGTGCTTTACTTATGTCACAGAAAACAAAACGCAAATCTTTACCTTGGTCTAAATTACTACTTAATTATAGTATTATAGATATATCAGCTAGTTGATTAGTAGTGGAGTCTTTGGGTTGACATCCTGACTTATGTACACTTAACATATTGTGACTTGAAATATAATTAAACGTATATTTAAAAATATTTTTTTCGAACATTTTGATAAATATAGATGTAATAGCAATAGGTCTATAATTATTGAGATCACTGATATCATTATATGTTTAGATTGCTATGTTAAATTAATTAATAAAATAGAAATTATTGAATAAGAAATTAGTTTCATGATATGTAAATGTCAGGTTTGTTTTAAACCTGATGAACACTTAATATCTGTCAATGAGCTATCAGTGTATAGCACTTATAGACAGCTCTTGACCACACCTGTGTGCTGTCACCAGGCAACAGCTACGTAGCCCCCTGGGGCCCCCCTTCCCCACAAAGGTGACACCCTAGTGTGTATTACCTGGACAGACATATAGTAATCATGTATTATAGGTAACATGATGTAATAATGTTGTAAATTTTGTATTTATATAAGAAGTTTTGATAAAATTTAGGGGGGATGAATATTTTATGGGGGGGGGGATGAGTATTTTGTGCATAAAATATTCATCCGGATGAGTATTTTATGGGAGAATAAATTTTATATGACACCGGTACTAAATTTAAGGGTCCAAAATTGGGAGTCACCCTCCTAAATTAAAGGGACAGTTGGCAAGTATTAAATTATTATTGTAAATAAAACTGATTTATATATATAATTTTTTTTTCCCTGTACAAAGGAGGAACGGCTTTGGAGGATGATTTATGGCAAAATGGCAGCTCCAGTCCATCTACCTTTTTCAGCAAACCAGCTTTTCAGACTTACTTCAGTGGTGAGACCGGCAACCTTCATTGTTCAAGCGTCATCTATTCTGAGTTCGCAAGTGAAAGATCAAGTGGGATGTCCTCATCTTCATCTGTTGTTGCCTCCAAAATGAAAACAACATTGGATGTTGCTGAGTCAAAGGAAGTCTTCAGCTTGGCTATTCCTTTGGATTTGTCCAGTGCCACTACCTTACCAATTTGCATGCAAGCAGAAGCAGAATCTTTGTGTAACTATGTCGGAACTTTTAAACATTTAAGAGAAATCTATCTCTACTGTCCTGATGGGGAGTTAGAAAATGCCAGACAGATCTTCACCGAAGCTTTTCAGTTTCATCTGCAGTGGAGTGTTGATTTCTCACTGTTAGAGAAGGGTAAGTGTAATTATGTTTTTTTATACCCCGCTTTCACCGAAACGGGGGATATTAATTTGGGTTTGTTTGTCTGTCTTTCTGTCTGTCTGTCACACTTCGTTTCCGTGCAATATAACTACAACAAATGTTAACCAATTTTCTTTCAGCAGACCCCATTTGGTGGAGTTATGTCCCCTTAAATAACGAAACATGTCATTAACTGCTACGCTTTGTTTCCGTGCAATAACTACAACAAATGTTTACCAATTGTCTTCACACTTGGTCACAGGGTTAAATGCCTTACAGCCAAGTTCGATAACCACTTTCAGCAGACCCCATTTGGCAGAGTTATGGCCACTTGAATAACGAAAAACGTCATGAACTGATGTGCTTCGTTTCCGTGCAATAACTACAACAAATGTTAACCAATTTTCTTCACACTTGGTTACAGGGTTAAATGCCTTAAGGACTCTGCCAAGTTCGATTACCACTTTCAGCAGACCCAATTTGGTGGAGTTATGGCACCTTGAATAATGAAAATGTCATTATCTGCCGCGCTTCGCTTCCTTGCAATAGCTACAACAAATGTTAACCGATTTTCTTCAAAATATGCCACAGGGTTAAATGCCTTAAGGGCTCAGCCACGTTCGATGGCCACTTTCAGCAGACTCCATTTGATGGAGTTATGGCCCCTTGAAAAATGAAAATGTCATTATCTGCCGCGCTTCGTTTCCATGCAATTACTACAACAAATGTTAACCGATTTTCTTCAAACTTGGTCACAGGGTTAAATGCCTTATGGGCTCAGCCAAATTCGATGACCACTTTCAGTGGACCCAATTTGGCAGAGTTCGCCCCTTGAATAATGAAAAACATCATTATCTGCCGTTTCTGTTTATTAAATCTTGCAAATATTATTTGATTGTCCTCAAACTTAGTAACAGGGTTCAATGCATTAAGAGCTCGGCCAAGTTTGATAACCACTTTAATCGGACTCCATTTGGCAAAGTTATGGCCCCTTGATTATTGAAAAACATCATTATTTGCAGTTTCCACTTTATAACTCTAGCAAATATTAGCCAAATTCCTTCAAACTTGATAACAATGTTTTTGTTCCTCTGTCTTTCCACCCATCTTTGGCACTCTCTGGATTTCGTGTGATAATGCTGTAGATATTGTTCAGATGTTTCAACCAAATTCCGTATGCACATCCAACTCATGCCAAGTTTGCCAACCGATGTGATTTGTACATATTTAAGGATAATCAATGAGGTATATGGCTTTTTTTTTTTATCAAGTTTCAAGCTATACATTATGTCTCAACAGCACGATACTCACCTGTTTAAACCTAACCTCAATACAGTTAACCTACAATACTGTTAACCTACAATATGTCCTGCAAGCGGGGGATGTAAATTCCATTTTTCTTGTTCTCTGAAGGTTTCTCTGTTATCCATCCAACACTAAGCCCATGCTTGGTATTTAAAGCCCATCAATATTTATTGCAGTGAGGAGGAAATGCCAACAAAAGTTTTTTCATTGTCCCGTAATAAGCCCATCCCCCTGATTTCAGTCAAAGATTAATGTGTTGGACCCCTGGCCTAATAAAAATGGAACTGTTTTTCCTGTTTCACGATTGACCCTATTTTTTCCTGCCGACCCAAAAACATTCTATTTGTTTCTCAAAGTCACAGACGTTATTACATGTATTTTATCCATTTCCCAATTAGTAAATCAAAATTTTAATGAATCTGCTGTAGTGTAGTGTCAGACACTAAGAATAATGATGAGTACAGAAACTTCGTAAAAACAATCTTTACTTATCTTCAATTCAATAGCATTATAAGTTGTGTCATGTTGCTATGCAATGGCTGAAATGAAAGGAAAAACCTTCCAAATTCCTGTGAAACACTTGACAGCCGCATTGGGTACAAAAGTAGATACTCAAGTAGATGTGTCGGCTGACACTTTTTTGCAGGGTAGACCACTCTTAAATCAGATCTTGAACTTTTTCCATTTATAGGACTCCTATATGTTTTTTCTTTATTTTTAGGTCACCTGAGACAAAGTCTCAAATGACCTATCGCAATCGCCTTTTGTCCGGCGTCGTGCGTCCGTAAACAATTAACATTTCCTACCCCCTCTCCAAAACCCCTGAACCAATTTCAATGAAATTTTGCAGAAACCTTCCATGGCCAAAGGTCAACGACGTCTTCTCAAAACCCCTGAACCAATTCCTCAATGAAATTTTGCAGAAACCTTCCATGGCCAAAGGTCAACCAAAAGTGTGAATTATATAGTCCCCAGTCCCCAGGGGCCTGAGGGTGGGGCCAAAAAGGGTCTTTACTATAGTTTATATAGGCAAATCACATTTTGGACCAGCATCAGTTTAATTTCCATTGGAATTAATTCAAACTTGGTTAGCATTATCAGTATTGGATAGCAGTTTGATGGTATGCACATATCAGCCCTGACTGACCCCAGGGGCTGATGGGTGGGGCCAAAAAGGGTTGAATTGACTGAAATTTCAAAAATCTTTTTCTGAAGACCCAGATATGGTAGAATCAAATACTCTTCATAGATGGAAAGGTCTTAGGTTGCTTTACCAAAATTGTGAATTTCATGTCCCTGGGTTCCCACGTTTCCCCCTGGGGAGGGGGTAAACTTTACTATAGCTTATATGCAGGGAAATCAAATTTTGGACCAGCATTTGTTTAATTTCCATTTGAATTAATTCAAACTTGGTTAGCATTATCAGTATTTGATAGCAGTTTGATGATGTGCACAAATCAGCCCTGACTGACCCCCAGGGGCTGATGGGAGGGGCCAAAAAGGGTTGAATTGACTGAAATTTCAAAAACCGTCTTCTCAAGATCCTGATATGGTAGAATCAAATACTTTTCATAGATGGAAGGGTCTTAATGTGCTCAAATAGTGGTTCTGTCAGTCAGCTGAATTTTGGTTGTACATAATTTTATAAAGTACATATACTACCCAGATCTTTCACACTACTTTTGCAATTTTTGCATTACATGTAGTTCAAGTTACCTTTGTTACAAAATGTTAACTTTTTCATTTGGCAACATCGATAATATCAGTTTTTACATAACTCAGGTGACTGATAAGGCCCATGGGCCTCTTGTTCTATATTTAATACTTATTTATTGGAAGCCCTGTGCAAGGTAGTTTTTAGATCACCTGGCCCGAAGGGCCAAGTGAGCTTATGCCATGGTGCGGCGTCCGTCCGTCCGGCGTCCGTCGTCAATATTTTACTTAAAACAACTTCCTCTCAATAACCAAAAGGCCTAGGGTAATGATATTTGGCCAGTAGCATGCTGGGATAAAGGGCTACCAAGTTTGTTCAAATGAATAACCTTGACCCACTTTCAAGGTCACAGGGGTAAAATGTCTTTAAAGAACTTCTAACAACTTCTTCTCAATAACCAAAAAGCCCAGGGTACTGATATTGGGCCTGTAGCATGCTGAGATGAAGGGCTACAAAGGTTATTCAAATGAAAGACCTTGACCCACTTTCAAGGTCACAGGGGTCAAATGTCTTAAAATCTTCAAACAGCTTCTTCTCAATAACCGAAAAGCCCAGGTTACTGATATTGGGCCTGTAACATGCTGGGATGAAAGGCTACCAAGTTTGTTCAAATGAATGACCTTGACCCACTTTCAAGGTCACAGGGGTCAAATGTGTAAAAATCTTCAAAAAACTTCTTCTCAATAACTAAAAGGCCAAGGGTACTGATATTGGGCCTGTAGCATGCTGGGTTGAAAGGCTACCAAGTTTGTTCAAATAATTTACCTTGACCCACTTTCAACCTAATGTTCTTGTTCGACATTCAAGGTCACAGGCTTCATATGTTTAAATCTTTTAACAGGTTCTTATATTTATGAATCAAACTCTGATATTCTGCCTGTAGCTGTATTTTAGTCCTTTTTTAAGATTGCAAGTGTGAGATGAATACCAGGTGAGCGATGCAGGCCCATTGGGCCTCTTGTTATATTTGCATGTTATTATGTAATTGGGATTCTAAGTGCCTCCTGTCATATTATTAATTTGAACGCATGTTGACTAACAACTTTAAGTTATATCAAGTACTAAATAGATTTTTAGCTCACCTGTCCGTCCGTCTGTCATCATTTATTTTTGAACGACTTCTTCTGGAGGACCTATAGGGTCATGATATTTGGCCAGTAGGTACCTGGGATAGAGTGCTATAAACGTTCCTCATTAAAATTACCTTGACCTATTTTCAAGATCACAGGGTTCAAATATGTTAAAAACTTCAAACAACAATATCCTTAGAACCATTTGGACTAGAGTCATGATAATTGAGTATGTTATGTAGACTAGCAGTGCAAATATTTTTCTTAATTACAGTAGTGAGGTCAAAGGTCAACTGTAAGTGCTAGTCAGGGTCAAATGTCAACATGGTTTAGAGTTTAACAATTTTCCTCTCAAGTTCCACAAGGCCCAGGGTCATAATATTTGGCCAGAAGGTAGGTACCTGGGATGAAGTGCTGTAAATTTTCCTCATTAAAATTTCCTTTACCTACTTTCAAGGACACAGGGGTCAAATATGTTAAAACTTTAAACAATGATATCCTAAGAAGCATTTGGTCTAGAGTCATGATTCTTGGGTATGCTATTTACATGTAGACCAGCAGTGCAAATCTTTTTCTTTGTCAACTTCAAGTGCTTGTCGGAATCAAAGGTCATCGTGGGTTAAAAGACTTAAAATTAACATTTGAAATTTCAAACAATATCAGAATATAAGAAGCGTTTAAGAGATGTTAAATGTCTTGTGTTTTAGTTGCCAAATTTGGTCTGAAGTTACCTATTTGTCAGTTTCATGAAACAAAAGAAACAGGTGAGCGATAAAGGCCCTCTAGGCCTCTTGTTCTCAAATTTCACATAAAGGTTCCCAATGATCCTGAGTTATGTATAATGAATTTTGGGACTGATCACAAAATAAAGATGGCCGACAGGCAGCCATCTTAAATTTGAGAGTTAAAGTTTGTATTGAAGTGCTATTTCTTAGAACGAACTAGAGGGATCTTTCTCAAATTTCACATGAAAGTTCCCCATGGTCCCTAGTTACACATATCTATTTTGGGAATGAAGAGAAACCCAAGATGACCAATACACAGTCATCTTGAATTTTGAGAGTTAAAGATTGTTAGCGCTATTTTTAGCCCACCATCACCAGCACACATGCAGGCATACACACATAGGGAGATATTAGCCAGATGGTATAATACTAGTAGTTAGCGCCTGATGAGGCGGCTCCTGCGAATTCTTCAAAATTGTATTGAATAATGTATATGCTAATTTTATTCATTGTATTAAATTGTATATCTATGTACTGTAAAGCGCTATAGAGTGGCTTATGTTAGCTAGATAGGGCGCTATATAAAATGTTGTATATATTATTTTTTTATTTATTAGATTGGGGGCTTTGTAAATTACCTGTCGCCTTAAACAATTCTTGTTATCGCTATTTCCCAGAAAGTACTTGAGGGATCTGTATCAAATTTGATATGTAAGTTCCCTTTTGTCTATAGTATTAGTTATGCATGTTTATTTTTGAGACTGATCGACTAAACGAAAAGGCCAACAGGTGGCCATTTTTGATTTTGACAGTGAATGTTTGTTATCGCTATTTCTCAGGAAGTACGTACTATAGGGATCTTTCTCAAATTAGACATGTACGCTTACTTTGTTTTCTTGGTGTGCATGTTTACTTTTGAGACTAATCTGATAAAGATATTTTTAGAGTGATCATAAAAGCAAGTTGGCCCCAGGAACTACTTAACAGATCTTTCTCATATTGCAATGATCTATTTCTTTCACGTTAAGTACTGTACTAGTAAATATGAGAAACGACAAACTCACTGAAGGTTGTCTTTCATACACAGCATGAGTATTAAGTTTAGATCAAAAGTTAACTCCATGTGCATTTACTGTTTTCCTAGTATGACTCAATCAAACAGATAAGTGAAAAGAAGAGAAAAGATGGAACTGACATAGAACTAACGAAGGTGATACAAGATGCATTTACTGTTGACATGAATATCGATCCAACAGATAAGAGAAAAAGGAAGCAAGAAGATCGATCAAATATACATAGAACTTATGTAGATCATACAAGGAAGGCAATTCTGTCTCATGTAGGTTCATATTGGGAGATTATTGTTCATTTTGGCAAATTGATAATTTGTTTTGTCTTGTATTATGTAGGTCGAGTAGGAGGGAGGAGAAAATCACCAATACAACTGGAGATATTGGAAGGGTGTTTGACTGACCAAAAGGTAAATGGAAGCATCGTACCTGTAAATTCTGTAAGCAAACCAGCAGCACATTTTGTTTCTTTCTGCACAAAGGTTCTCAGCTTTTACCTTGCCTTGTCATATAAGCTTGATATATACATGCACACCAACAAAACATCTATATTTAACATTAATATAATAAGCTGCATAAATAGAATGAAAGCAATAGTTATTCACCCTAATGTATAAATAACTAAAGTTGTTGGGCGAGGAGATCCAACGTCCCGTGGATAGGGGTCGGTTGATGTACCAGCGTAGGAATCATCAAGATAATCTTTAGCACTTCCCCAGAATCTCATTTCCTCACATGATCACTCAATAATTACTATGACGTAATATTATGAACCATTATTTGCACCTTAGTTCTGATACATATTATTGTAAAGTTGTTCTGATGAGGGTTGGCCTAGCCATTCGAAACATGTGAATTAATTAGGCTTTGAGATGGTTGGGTGAGCGTGGCATACATGAGGAGTTCCATAAAATATTTTTAACATCAGCCTTTCAGCCCGTATAAACTACTACATTAGCACCAGTACCTGGTTCCAGTGCAAAGGTAACATTGTAAACTCAGAAACAAGAACAATTTGTGTTGTTTACGCGTCAAAAAGACTATTTTTGTATCGCGTCTACCCGCCCACCTGCTCTAGCTATACACGAGTGTAATATCCTTGTGTGTACTATCATGGCTATGGAGGTCGACCCCAGTAAAAAAGCTGAATACCAAGTTCTGGTCGACTCTTATAAACATAAAGACATAGCGGAGTGCTTCGCCAATATGCACTTCAGTTTCAATCTCGAGGTTGATGCTATTAAAAGCAGTGTTAAAGAGCTCGACACACGCAACATCCAATTGGAGAACTTCGCTACTCATGCTAACCAGGCTCACGGCGAACTAAAACCGGCTATGAGTACTGAAATAGTCAGTGAGGCACATGAATGTTTGAAATTAGAGATATGGGGGCGCAAATGGAACCTGGTGATTAAAGGTATCGAGGGATCCGAGGGAGAAAACCCCAGGGAGACAGTTAAAAAGGTCAAAGCATTTTTGTTAAAAGATCTAAAAATTGTGAATGAAGCCGTTGAAAATATGACATTCCAAGCAGCACATCGACTAAAAGGGGGCCAGGAGGGAACAAAAAACGTCATTGTGCGTTTCAGCAGCCTGATCGACAGGGATGAGGTGCTGGAGGTAGGTATGGGTCTCAAATCTGGATTTGGTTTTAGCATTGTTCCAGGCCTACCCCCCGAAATAAGTAAACTTAGATCCAAACTACTAAAGAAGCGCTGGGAAATGAAACCGGAAGAAAAACAGAGGCGGTATGAATAGGACAGTTACATGGAGAGGTCAACGGCTGGTGCTATACAGGAAAACTATATGTGGGGTTTTGTGTCTTGCCGAGGTGTTGTGGTGATTTACTTTTCGGTGACATATGTCCGTCTAGGTCGGCCTTGCGATTGCAAATAACTGTTGAATAACCGTATAACAATCCGGTATATTGTCGGTAAATATCTATTCGTTCGATGGTGATTTTTAAACAAAGTAAAGAAGCGTTTTGTGTGCTAATAAGAATTAATCACGAGCTTTGCGTTTTACAGTAAATATTTTATGAATGGACAGTTGCTCATTGTCGCAAGATTGATCCAGACTGTCTGTACTCATCATACACATACGATGCTACGCTATTTTATACATGCATAAAACCGGATTTGTGTGTATATATATTATGATGCAGGGCTGGGTTTTATTAGGTGGCATTGGCTCAGTGATACATTCAGTCTCCTTTTTTCTTCTTTAAAATTTGCTTGTGTTGCACAGTAAAGTTTCGTGTAATGTGTCATTGAGCTGATGACGCTGGTATAACTGGGTCCAGGTGTCTACTGGTTAGATATTATTGTTAATTTACATGTTTCCAGGGTTGGAAAATACTAATTTCAAATTTGGAGAATCCTCAGCTCCTTATATTGGGCATATAAAGAGAATGGTCGAAAGGGAAGTTTTTCTACAGGGATTAGGGAACGGGGAATTTACTTTGATTGTTAAAAATGCGTCTTTCATTTTCTTAGTCAATATTAAGGTTTATTTGTTGAAGATACACATTGTCAATTTGCCATTTGATAATGGGTAGCATAAAAATAGGAAGCCTGAATTGCCGAGGTCTTGCAAGTAATGCAGTTAAAAGGCGTGATATTTTTCATAGATGTCGAAATATGATATTACAATATTGACTGATACACACAGCGATGTTAATGTCGAAACACTCTGGCGAAATGAGTGGGGAGGTGATATAAAATTTGCATCGTTTTCTTCACATAGTAGGGGCATTGCAATAATATTTCAAAACTCCTTCGCTTACAAGGTGGAGAATGAATACAAAGACCCCGATGGAAATTATTTATTATTGAACATCACAATTCAAGACGTAAAAATAACACTCGGTGGAATATACGGCCCGAACAATGACATCCCAGCTTTTTTCACAAACCTGCAAAATAAAATCGAATTGATTGGGAATGATACTACATTATTGCAGGAGATTGGAATGTTGCCCTTGATAATGAAGTAGACACCGTTAATTATTGCAATCGTAATAATACAAAAGCTAACATAGAAATCCATAATATGATGCAGAATCTTGATCTAGTCGATGTCTGGAGAGAATTAAATGTAGATGCCCGAAAATACACATGGTTGGTGCTAATGGGGAAAAAAAGTCACTTGGATTATTTTCTGGTCTCCTTGGATTTACAAAATAATATTACAACAGCAGGTATGGATTTTGCTTACAAGTCAGATCATTCACCAATCAACATAGAATTGGAATTCATTAAACAACAGCGCGGAAGAGGAACATGGAAATTTAACAACAGTTTACTAGGGGATACTGAATATGTAAATATAGTTAAGAATGTTATAAAAGATGTTATTGTACAATACAGAGTAGACGAAAATGACGATTTAGAAAATGCTGAATTTAGTATTAGCGATCAATTACTATGGGAAACTTTAAAACTAATGATCAGGGGAAAAACGATCAGTTACTCATCTTTTAAGAAACGAGAACGCGGAAAACAAGAAAATGACCTAACAGATAAATTAAAAGAGTTATATAATCGAGACCAAACTGAGAACAACGCACAATTACTTAAAGATATTTTGGAAACGGAGGGTAAACTAAAAATATTAAGAGATAAAAAAAATCAAAGGGATTATAACCAGGGCAAAGGGGCGATGGAAAATCGAAGGTGAAAAAAGTACGAAGTATTTTTGTAATCTAGAAAAACGACAATACAACGAGAAAAATTGATTCCAAAATTAATAACACATGACGGACAAGAAGTAAACGATTTACACGAAATACTTAACCAGCAATTAACGTTCTACTCAAACCTGTATACAACAAAGGGAACTATGTTTAATGAAATACACCAGGAAACTTTTTTTAATGATAATAATCCATTCATAAATAAACTCACTGATGAGCAACACGACTCTATGAACGGTGTACTTATAAGGTTGAGGAGTGTCTAAAAACATTGAAACATATGAATAATGGGAAGTCTCCAGGTTTAGATGGATTCACCGTAGAGTTTTATAAGTTTTTCTGGATATAGACATAAAACAATACATTTTAAAATCTCTTAATCAAGCATTTAGTAAGGAGGCAGTGTCAATCAGTCAACGCCATTGACATTGGAGTCTTCGATTCCATTGAGTGGTCATTCATAGAAAAAAGTTTGCATTTCTTTGGTTTTAGTGATTACATTATAAATTGTTTTAAAACATTCTATTCTAATATCACAGCTTCTGTTGAAAATAATGGTCACCTCTCCACCTTTTTCCAACTAACACAAGGAGTATGACAAGGAGATCCTCTGTCTCCATATCTTTTCATTATCTGTATTGAATTGCTAAGTGCAGCTGTAAAATATGATCCTGGTGTCAATGGCGTAATCCTCAATAATTCTGAATACCTGATAAGTCAGTATGCAGATGATTCAACCTTGATACTCGAGGATGACCAAAGGTCTCTAGTTAAAGCGTTATATTTGATCGACATCTTTGGAGAATGTTCTGGTCTAAAAACCAATTTTGATAAAACCCAGGCTGTATGGATTGGGGTAAAACGGGGCTGCGGTGAGGAAATCAAATTCAAACTATTGGGAGTGAGATATGATTTTTCCAAACACGATATTTATGAAGATAATTTTACGGAAAAAATAAAGTCAGTGGAATCACTTTTGTCTGATTGGTCATTTAGAAATCTCTCTATTACTGGAAGAGTAACTGTTGTCAAAACTTCAGCTTTTCCAATCATTGTACAGATACTAACTGTCATTCCTAGTCCACCTGCTAAAATCCTTAAAAAGTTTCAAGTCCTGTTCTTTCATTTTATATGGAATAGTAAAATCGATAAACTTAAACAGAATCTCCTAATAGGCGATTTTAAAGATGGATGTTTAAAGGTTCCAGATATTTTTTCTTATAGTAAATCTTTAAAGCTTATGTGGATAAAGAAATGTCTGGATCCAAACAACCATGCAGATTGGAAAAAGTTACTAATTGACAATATTGAAAATATACGAGGAGATAAAATCTGGAGCTTAACAAAAAGTGAACTAGAAGAAATCGCTAAAAGATACAATTTTGGTAAATTTTGGAAAGAAATTTTATCATTTTGGGGAAATCTGTACGAGCCTCTCCCAGCAGCCCCTGAAAACGCACTCTCTCAGCCTCTATGGTTTAACAAAGAAATACAAGTAAATAGACAAACAGTCTTTATAAAAAAAATGTGTAATGAAGGTATTTTCTACGTTTAAGACGTAGTACATGTAGATGAAAATGGAAATTTTCTGTCTTTTAATGATTTCATTCAAAAATACCAATAAATATAAACTTTATGAATTTTAATAGCATTATTAGTGCAATACCAAGAGGCTGGAAGAGAATGATTAGAGATTATGGAAAAAATATTAATAATGTTGCACATTACAATAAAAACATGTCTACTGTATTGATTTATCCGCAACAATCCCATGAAAGGTGGCACACTATCTTAGATATTTCTCTGAACCAAGACGAATGGGGAAAAATTCACTCATGTCCCTTTTACGAGACAAAAGACTCGAAATTACAAAGTTTACAATACAGAATAATTCACAGAATCTTTTTCACAAATTCCATGCTACTGAAGCGAAAACTATTAGAACATGAAGAATGCAGCTTTTGTAGTGGAGAATCAGAAACAATATGTCACCTTTTTTGGGGTTGTACACATTTTCAATCTCTCTGGACATGTTTTATTAACTCGGTTTTACAAAAATATATATTAAACATATGCATACTACTGATTAAAAAATATATATCTTTAATGCGACAATACCACAAAATCCCCGACTGGGAAAGTTGTAAAATATTTATATAAATTATAGAAATTTAGACCTATATTCTGTCTACATGATGTCTCAAAATGCAGCGTACAAGACCCGGCGAAAATGGGAAAGTATCAAGCTTATTCTAGAATGAACTACTAGTACTTAACTTCTCGTTTATATTGTATTTCTTCTCCAGGAACCTTTGTAAACATGTAATGCACTTATGTGACTGACGCAATAAAAAAATGTTAAAGACAAATAAAAATTAGGCTTACATTTACGGAATCCTTGGTGTTGACGCTCCATCACTTACCTTCTTGTATTCACCCTAATGAAAGCAGCTACTTATTATTGAGGAAAAAAACTATGTCTGAAACAATAAACATATATTTAGCTCAACATCATTAGATGGTGGACTTTTCAAAAGCCATTTATATGTCTGTTATTCATCCCGCAGATGACCAGTTAGTTTGCAGGGAATATATTATAACTTAATGTTGGCTATTCCCCCAATGCTAGACTTTTTCAAGTTATATCGTATCACCTTAAAAAAACTGACAACAAAAAGTGATAAAGACGTATTTGTAATTCTAACTTGTGAATGATTGAAGTTGCACTGGCCAATAAAATAACACTGCAATGTTGTACATGTTTTGTGCAATTCTTTTTTTTCAGAAATGATTACATATTCATTAACTATTTACTAAAAAGTGTTGCAATTGTCTCTTTTTAATTAAATGATAAGTTATTATACTGACAAATCTGTGCACTTTGTTTTTTGGGTATATATAGTATAACACAAAAAATAATTATCATTATTCCTTAAGTAAATATTCTACAGCAAAAAGCTTGCCTCACAGTTTAATATCCAAAAAACTCTTGCCTGTTATATTAGATTCCTGTTTACATTCTTTATGACATTCATAATCATAACCTTGAAAGATATTGGTTCAATTTTCTTATTTATAAATAGGAAGACTACAAATGTCAACAAGTAAATATAGTAGATCATCGCTGAAGTTTTGCAGCCATTTTCAGGCGATTACTTTTTAATAGATTGAAATATTAGCAACTGCATTGTCGATTTATAAGTCTGCATGTCTTAACGATAAACAAGATGAACTATATATGTATATGTAGATACAGACAAACTTTTATTAAGAGATCACACTCTGAAAGTCCAAAAGATGGTCTCTTAACACAGGTGGCCACTATTAGAACAGCTTTGACTATATAAAATATATTAAAGAACTAAACTCAAAACTTTAAAATTAAGAATGTTTATATATTGTACATATTCATGTCAGATTTGAGGAGTAGTTTTGATCCATGAACATCTGTTTAACATCCTTTCCTGTAATAATGGTTGTCTGTGAATGATATAAAATCTTTATCGCTTTAAGGTGGATGTTCTTGTCAACACAACCAATACCAAACTGGACTTAGATTGTGGATTTGTTTCCCAAACAATGTTACGTGGAGCTGGACAAGGTATCCAAAAAGAATGCAATGATTACTACAAAGATGGGATCAACATAGGTGATATAGCTTGGACCTCGGCTGAAAATTTTTCTCATGTAAAACGCATATTTCATGTAGTTTTGCCTCACTGGAGACCCATCGGCAATTTTTCTCTGATGGTAAGTAAACAGTGATGGTTTCACAGGATCCCTTGCATATTGTGAAAGATTTTACATACAATATTTACCACTATTTAACCTTACCAAGTTCAGATGGCATTCATATAACCTGTAAATACCATGGCCCACTTTGTTCATGATTTTTATGACATAATAAGTGTAACATCAAAATGCACTGACTCTGTGGAAGGTGACTGATTTACTTATTGAAGAAGCATACACAATATATTCACTAATTTGATACATATGCTGACTTTAAGCTTTAAGTAAGTAATCTTATGCTGTTGAGTCAGCATCTGTCATTGACTATTCCTTTGAACAATTTCTTCTCAAGAATGAAAAGCCCTGGTACCTTTCTGTGATAATTAAAGCCCAACAAAGTTTGTGAATAAACATGGCCTTGATTTTTTTCTGGATCACTGGGATCAAATATGTCAAAAATTTCAAACAGCTTCTTTAAACCTCTATAAAGCTTACAAAGACTTCAAATGAACCGAAAGGCCTAGAGTCTTGATGTTTGACTGGTAACTTCCAGGATGGAGCATGACCAAATTTGGGAATTAATATGACCTTGACCTATTTCTATGGTCAAACATGTCAGAACTTCAAACAACTTCTTACAAAGAACCCAAAGGCATAGAGTCATGATATTTTGTGGGTAGCTTCCCTGGAAAGAGCCTGACAATGTTTGTGAACGATATGACCTGAACAGTTTCTCAATGTCACATGGGTCAAATATGTCAAAAAATTCAAATGACTTCTTTTGAAGAACCAAAATGAATTGAGTGATTATATCTTATTGGTAGCTTCATGGAAAACAGCTTGACAAAGTTTGCAAATGAAAATGATTTGACCAAGGTAATGGTACAATATGTCAAAAACTTCAGATGACTTCTCCTGAGGAACTGAAAGGCATAAATTCATAATATTTTGATGGTAGCTTGCGACGATGGAGTATGAAAATGTTTGTGAGCAAAAATGACCTTGAACTATTTTCAAGGTAACAGAGATCAAATGTGTCAAAGATTTTAAACAAATTGTTCTTTAAAACTGAAAGGCCTTAAGTCATGATATTTGGCCAGTATAAATTCCTGGGATAGAGCCAGACAAATTTTGTGAATGAAAATGATGTTTACCAATATTCAAGGACAGAAGGGTCTTATATCCACCAAAAAAAATAAAAAAACTTCTTCTGAAGAACCAAAGGCCTAGAGTCATGCGATATTTCACTGGTAATTCCTTGGTAAGTGTCCAAGAAAGTTAGGGAATCAAAATGACCTGGTCCTATTTTCAAGCTAGGTCACATGCAGCGGTCAAAAATGTCAAAACTTTAAATAACTTCTTCTGAAGAACCAAAAGGCATAGAGTCATGATATTTGGCTACTGCTTCCTATGGTAGAACCTGACAAAGATTGTGAAAAAAATGACCTTGAACTACCTTAAATAAGATGTTTTAACTATTGATTAGAATAGTGTTAGAGTGATGATTCCACAAGACAGTTTCAACGTTTCACTTGTATTTATTTACAGGTCTGCAAATTGTACATATAGTTACAATTTCTTCTCAATATTCACAATCAATCTGGTACTCCTACCTTGCATATAGCAATCACTCTCTGACCCTCTGATTTGGGTCCAGATACACTTATAAGCTTACACAGTACCTAGGTGAAGACACCTACCCTGTACTATCCTAATATTACTAACAGTTAGAAGGATGTGTTTCTAACTGCAGGAGTTTAAATTCATATTTATACAAAACCCTAACTGATACAAACAACTTATCAATTAAATATGAAAGAAGATATTCTCTAGCTTATAATGATATAATTTAACTTATACCTAGGCTAGGAAATAGATATAAATACAATAATGAATTGTTAGATTCAAGCCATTTCAAATGACTGATAAATTGATACAACTTCTGACTAGTTTAAAATTATAAAAACAGTGTCTTAAACTACACATAATGTACATTCAAATGGTATCAACATTATTCTCTAAATGATAACTATCAATTAGAAATAATACATTTAAACTACAGAACAAAAACAAATATCTACATAGGTGAAGTATTGTTAAGCCCAGCTAGGTCCCAGTTGGGGACTATCCCCACAGCTGACCATCACCCTACAGCAAGAGGGAGCTGACACAGCATGACACTTCCTACACACCTAACACAAATCGCTTAGCCCTTATAATTTACCTGGCTAGCAGATTTACACTACTACAATAGTAATGTGTCCTTTTTATCCTGATCAAGCTCAAAATAAAATATGAAAAAATAATTAAATGTGACCTAATCAAAATCATGTGGTTGAATTTGTAGAGACCAGACCCCTTTGAGAGATAGTTTTTCAAAATATTACCCAGGTAAGATTTTATGTAAAACATCAATTCATTTCTCATTTAGGTCCTGGAGTTGCTGATCACAAAGTGCCTGATTAAAGCAGATGAAATGAAGATGCACAGCATAGCTTTCCCTGTACTTGGTACAGGAAACTTGATGTACCCTCAACAGCTTGTAGCTAAAACCATGTGTGACACTGTCAACAAGTATGGCAGCAATAGAAAAACCGATATCAAGACAGTAAAGTTTGCTATTTTTGAAAGGGATGTCTTTCAGGTAAGATTTTGTATTGAAGAACAATATTATATTGATTATTGTTTAACTAAAATTGATTCTAAGCACATATATTGTAGTTTAAGCCCTTCATCATCATAATTTTGGTACCACAGGTGTATAGTGCTTTTAAGTATCCACAAATAGATATCCTTGACCTAGGGGTTAAATGTGTTAAAACCTTTGAACGACTTCTTCTGAATAATTAAGACACATATAAATTATGTTGATACCATGCACTTAAGGCATTTTTACCCACATTTAAGCTAGGATCATGAAACTTGGTGTGTACATCACTCATAGGAAGACGATGCGCACTTTACCAAATTAAGGGGCCACAACCCCTTATTTACAGAGTTATTGCCCTTTGCTAAAATGTTGTGTCTGGAGCATTACTTTGCCATGAAACTTTCACTTGGTATGTACAGTAGTCATACTAAGGCAATAAGCACAGTACCAAATTCAGAGCCCACAACCCCTTAATTACAGAGTTATTGCCCTTTTCTAAAACGTTTTGTCCGGAGCATAACTTTGCCTGCAGTTAGGATAGGATAATGAATCTTAGTGTGTACATCAGTCACGCTAAGGTGAAGTGCATTGTACCAAATTTAGAATCAGCTGCCCCTTAATAATTAAGTTATTGTCCTTTGCTAAAATACCAGACACATATACATGTATGTTAAAACATGACTTGTCTTCTTCAAAACTCCCCATTTCAACATATTTTTACCAATATGTGTCATAAATCTAACCAAATGCAAAATTCACAAACAGGAAAAGCCTCCAATAAAGTTGTTTTCGGGGAGCATACATCAGTCCCACTGATACTCTTGTTTAATTTGGAGCAAGGCCTTTGGCAAAGACCACTCGACCTTGGGTAAACAAAGGGCGTGGCCCTCTTGAAGCAGAGGGGCAGGGCCCAAGAGGAGATATATGAATGAATCTTTAAAATGCTACTCCTTCCGTAGAGCTAAAGGAATTGAATTTAAAATCATCTAAAGCATCCTTTGGCAAAGGGAACTCATTATTGTATAAACAAAAGGTGTGTACCCCTGGGGGCAGAGAGACGGGGCTAAATACAGGATATATCTGTAAATCTTTAAAATCCTACTCCTTAAAACATTCTTACACAAAACTAATTTAATGCTGTATAAATGGAAGGTGTGACCTTTCTTAAGGACATAGGGTGAGACACATTAGGGGTAAACAGTATTGGTTAACATTAAGAAAAAATCTCATTTCTCCCATACTATAGAAAATATTTTAGTATGAAATATTCCTGGACAAAGAGGACTCAATGTTAATAAACAGGGTCTGCTCCCCATCAGGACAGGCTTAACAGAAGTAACCAGAAAAAAATCTTTAATTCCTTCTACAGCGTTGAGTCCTCTTAGCCCAAGAATATCTCATACTAAATTGGGCTAAAATCCCTTTTATAGTACTGAAGGAATACAATTTTTAGCTCACCTGATCCGAAGGACCATGGTGAGCTTATGCCATACCACAGCATCTGTCATCCCAAAATTTGGCCTGGAGCATCCTTAGGCTAAGGGTTCTCAATTTTGTATAAACGGTGGGTGTGGCCAGGGGAAATAGAGATAAAACCTTTAAAATCCTTCTACCGTAGGGATGAAGGGATTTTATCACATTTTGGTCTTGAGCTACCTCATTTTTAGCTCGCCTGCCCGAAGAAATATATTGATAGTTGACTGAGAGCTTCGTTGGTAGAAGCCTGACAAAGTTTGAGAACGAAAATTACCTTGACCTACTTCCAAGGTCACAGGGGTCAAATGTGTCAAACACTTCAAACGACTTCTTATGGAGAACTAAAAGGTATAGAATCTTCATATATGGCTGGTGGCTTCCTGAGATAGAGCCCAACAAAGTTTGAGAATGAAAATGACCTTGACCTATTTTCAAGGTCTCGGGGGTTAAATTTGTCAAACACTTCAAAAGACTTCTTCTGGAGAACTAAAAGGTATAGAATCTTCGTATTTGGCTGGTGGTGTCCTGGGATAAAGCCAGACAAAGTTTGAGAATGAAAATGACCTTGACCTACTCTCAAGGTGTCAGGGGTCAAATGTGTCAAAGACTTCAAAAGACTTCTTCTGAAGAATTTAGTGGTATAGAACCTTCATATTTGGCTGGTTGCTTCCTGGGATAAAGCCAGACAAAGTTTGAGAATGAAAATGATCTTGACCTACTTTCAAGGTCACAGCGGTCAAATATGTCAAACTCTTCAAAAGACTTTTTCTGAAGGACTGATATGTATATAATCTTCATATTTGGCTGGTTGCTTCCTAGGCTAAAGCCAGACAAAGTTTAAAAAACAACTTCTTCTGAAAAATGGCGCCTGACAAAGTTGCAAATGAAAATAACCTGGATCTCCTTATAAGGTCACAGCGGTCAATTATGTCAAACACTTTAAACAACTTCTTCTAAAGGACTGAAATATATAGAATCTTAATATTTGGCTGGAAGTTTCTTGGGGTGGAGCCCAACAAGTTTGAGAATGAAAAAGGCCTTGACCTTCTTTCAAAGTCACAGGGGTTTAAGGGGTCAAATGTGTCAAACACACAACTTCTTCTGACAACCTGAAAGGTATAGAATCTTAATATGTGGCTGGTAGCTTCCTGGGATGGAGCCTGACAAAGATTGCAAATGAAAATAACCTGGATCTACTTTTAAGGTCACAGGGATCAATTATGTCAAACACTTTAAACAACTTTACAAATTAAGTTTTGTCATGCAGGTAAAAAATTACAATTTATGTAGAAATTGGGTGAATTGAATTTTAAAAAAGATTTGATATATATTTCTAGTCATTAATGCCTAAGAAAGATGAATGATTTAAATTTCAGGTATTCAAGATCTATGAAGAGTTCAATAGCTTTGGGCGCAGTGAAACAGTTGGTATGTATCACAAGAGTAAATTGTGATATGTTTAATTAACTCATCTATCTGAAGGGCAAGTAAAATACTCTTGACCCAATGATTGTAATATCTTATTTAGCCCACCAGGTCTGAAAATGAGCTTATGCCATACTGTTGCATCCATTGTCTGTCCCTCCATTACTGTCTGTCCGCCTGTCCATCAATCAACAATATCTCCAAACAACTTCTTCTTCAAAACCGCTGTTTGGAATTTAACCAAATTTGACTGGATGTATCCCTTTGGTGGTGGGGATTCAAATTGTACAAATGGAGAACCTGACCTCCAGGGGGGCGGAGGGGCAGGGCCAAAAGGGGATAATTTGACCATATTGATTTAAGCAACTTCTTGGCTAAGGTAATTAAAGAGATAAATAAAAACCATATTTGGCTTTCTCATGTGGTGGGTATTCAAAATTGTAAAAATGGAGAGGCTAAGGGATGTGGCCAAAGGGGGGGGGGGGGGGGGGGGGGGGGGGGGGGGGGGGGGGGGGGGTATTTAGTCATATTGATTTAAGTGACTTCTTCTCTGGAACTAAGGATCATAAGGATATCAATTATATTTGGTTGAAGAAAGCCTTCTCAGCTGATAGGAATTCAAAATTGTATAAATGTAGGGGCTGCCTCTCATAAGGGGAGTGGGGAATGAGAGATATTGCAAATAGGGGGACATTAATTTGGCCATTATTTTGCATTCTTGCATCTCTTCAGGAACTAATGGATCAATATGAACCTTTTTTGGTTGGAAGCATTCTCAATTGTTGGGGATTCTTAAATGTTACCAGTTGAAGGGCTGACCCCTCCGGGGGCTGAGAGGCAGGGCAAAAAAGATTTTTTAACTTAGAAATGATTAAGATCCCTACCCGATTACTATACATATACTTGCTGAGCATAAAGACACAAACACACGTATTCTACCAGAATGACTTGGGTTCTGGCCCCACCCATGGAGACTAAGTAACTTGGTCATAACTTTGAAATGGTTGAGATCCCTACCCTTTAGTCATGTATACAATATTGCTGGGAATACACAGAAAAATACAGTCATGGTATTAGAATTGACTCTGGGGTCTTGCCACACCCTTAGGGACTTAGTCATTGGGTCATAACCTTTGAGACCTAAAGCCTATTATGATATATGTATTTGCCTAGCATGAAGATTTGGATACATGTATGCTGGCAAAATTGGCCCAGGGGACTTGCCTTTCCTTAAGAATTTTTTTTCCATACTACTTTCATTGAGGATTGTTTGCCAGGTGAGCAATACAGGCCCTCTGGCCCTTTTGTTTAGGTATGACCTCTTGTTCTGACAATGATTGTCAACAGATGCTCATAACTATGCCTCCTCTCATTTTTCGGTATATGTTCGAATATCAATATTTCAAGTAATTCCTCATAAAACAGTTCTTTAATCCTTGGTTAAATCTGTCTCATCCCATACCTGCTATTGCCTGAATCTCCAAATGGGGGTCATGACCCCCATTGGAAAATTCTGTGGGGGGTGATAACGCACGACAAAAAAATTCATGTCAAAATAAATCATTTAATTTTTGCGCCGTCACGGCATAACATATATGTTGTGTCTTCTGGTAGGATTTAGGACCTTTTTAAAATAAATAAAACAACTCTTTTCACACATTTTGTTTAATTACATTATCTCTTTTCAGAATACTGATTTCCCTGTACATACAGGTAGTTTAAGTTAATTGTAGAAAACTTGGCATCTTTGATGCATACTGAAAGCATGAACTCATCTAGAAGCTCCTCTATCTATTTCTCCCTCTCATCTTTATGTACTACATTGGGAATCTGACTGCCTGCAGGTTGGAAACTGGAAAAAAAAAATATGCATTTATGTTAAATACAGGTATTTCTATTGGTTTAATTTATCTTGGTACACTCAAATTTGTACGACTGCTAAATTTTAAAGCAATCTCGCGATCGCAATATGGGAAAGCATTTTCATGCAGATTTTGGTAAATTAGAATGATCGTGATCTGTCGTTGAGAAAGTAATGTGTTCAGCACTTAAGTTACTATTAATAACGACTTTGCGTTTATAACCTTGTCGTCGGACATCGTGAAAATCGTTAATCATAAGGTATGTTTTTCATAAAGAGCACCCGAACCTACTGAAAATATTTAAGTATATAGTATAGTTTACAATAAGAATGATCAGGCTCAATATTTTTATGACATAACGAAGCCACTCAAAATCCCTTTCCCACAAAGTATTACAATAGCAGACATACTTATTCTGTTTTTCTAGCATTTAACGCAGTCCAGATTATGGTTAAGCACATAAAATCGAAAGTACTACGATCAGATTTATATGCACTGTTGTAATAGTAAACGGTACTCACCTTTCAAATTTGCCTGGCTTCCACGAGACCGCCATTGTGAAAACATTTCGAATTGTGTACAGACTTTACCCACTCGGAACTTCTCCGCCGATTCGGTCATCTAACATTGGAAGGAACTGTAATCGGGGTGAGGTGTTCCGAATAGGCTTTACCCATACGTTAATGCTAAACCTACGAGACAAACGAATGGAACACTTCCAGAAATAGGGACATACTAATACGAGCGCGGAGGCGGGTGATGCCGTGTCATGTTGACGGAATGCGGTAGATTTGTATCACCTGCGCGGGTCATAAGTTGGTCGCGGGTGATAGGTTAATTTTGCGGGTGTGAGTTGCAGGATGCGAGTCATTTAGCATGTATGCTATCCTATGGGTTAACACTACCACTTGGCTATGAGGATAAAAACAAAGACATTAGGATGCTTGCTCAGGCAATCAGTTTGTCAGACTTTGGAGTAATAAAATCTTTTGATACATCTCAAATCAATAAAATAGGATTTCAATGGAGAAAATAGATCAGATCATTTGAACTCTATGCAGAAGAAAAATGGGTAGGTGAACCAGCCCAAAAAGAGCCTTGTTACTCCACTGTGCAGAAGAAAAAATACAAGTTATCTTTTATACTCTACCACCTAGACAGCCTGATGCAAACAAAGATGTGTATACTGTCACGAATGCCATTTTGGATAAATGTTTTGCCCCCAGGTAAATGTGTCATTTGGACAGTTTCAGTTAAGATCAATGAGTTGAAATGTTTGTTACTCGATTCCGTGAAAAGACACGTTTTTGGAAATTGTGTTGAAGAAATGATAAGTGATGCCAAGTTATCGAGAAATGTAGTTGGTCACGACTGAGGGGGAAATTTCTAGAACCAAGAAATGTAACATTAGATGATGACACAAACATTTGAAACAGAACAAAAAGCATTCAATTAGATAGAAATAGGAGTAAATGACAAACACATTAGAGGCATCCTCGATATCCAGGGGTTACACTCACTTTCGCTCTCTACCCCCCTGGAATATGTCGCAGCAAAATTGAAGGCTTAGTGTGCGCCACCTTGTTGATGATATGAGAAGACTAGTTTGATCCTTTGATATACATCAAAAGAATCTCGCGGTCACGTAATGGTAAAAATTGACAGGCTTTGAAGTCGGGCATCTCTCCTTTGTAATCTTGAAAGGATAGGTATCAGCCTAGCGATTGGTCAGTTTATTTTACCCGAGACCAATCAAATAGCTATCTTCCTGCCTTCAATTTTGCTATGACATATTTCAGGTGTGTAGAGAGTGAAAGTGAGCGTAACCCCTGGATATCGAGGATGCGTTAGAGGAGACATCAACAAAGTGAAAGAAAGTACCAAAGCCAAGAAAACTGGTCGTATTAGTAAGAATTCCATGAAATGTTATGCCTGTGGTTACATGGGTCACTTGGACAAGGACTCCAAATGCCCAGCAAAAGACAAAAAAGTGCCGAAAATATAAGAAAACAGGTCATTTTGAGAAGTGCTGCAAGAAGAAAGTAGATTCTGGAAAATCTTGGAAAAAGGCAGGTAATTGGTACAGCCATGTGAAGCAAGTTAAGAGTGACTCTGTGACTCTGACAGACACAACCAGCATTTATTTGGTGTAAATACTGAAGAATCCAAGCTGTCTACAACTTAAAGTGTCCTTTATTGTGCATGATTTATTTTAAGACTGATTGGAAATACAAGATGGACACCAGGTAGCCTCCTTATTTTTGGTTCAAGTTGGTTATCACTTTTTCTCAAGAACTGAGCAACAACCTAACATTGAACGGACACTCTCAAATCCAGCTGTTTGAAATTTTAATCAATAGTTACCACAATGTACATTTATTGTATGTTGACAAGACAATCAGTCTGACTTCAAAGGGGAAAAGAAGAAATAGGATTAAACAAAGATCTTACCATGGTTGGATCTCGTAATAAATGTTTTATCATTAAATATTATCATCAGAAGGATTTCAGTTGTCACATGATTTGGTCATCACAACAAGAGAAATCAATAAATCCCACAAAAAATTTTCATTTTAATTTATTGTTCCTATTTTTGAAGTTACGGGTTAAATCATGAAATATAACTTGGAGATAATCCCCGCTTGTGCATGTATGTTGTAGAAGACGATCCTCCGTACAATGTCATTGAGGCCAGGATTCCAACACCGGTGACATCAGTTCAGATACAGGTTCTGCCTTTCCATGGATGCTGGTGGAGAGTTGATGCCCTGGTGGAATTTGTGACAATTAGACAGGCTCAACAAGGTAATTATGTAGACCAGTTAGAAGTTATTACATGATTGAGATGCCACCTGTTTCCACATGTAAGAGGAATGACTGCTATGAGACATTGGAGACACAAGCTGAAAATATATCCCTGAAAAAAAATACTATTTTGAAATTTTTGTGCATCACACAGTGAGATCGCTTATAATGAGATATTGTGTATTACGAAACAATTTCAAAGTCTGTGGTTAAACCAGTCAATTTTACCTATGTCTATATATAATGAGGTATGACGCAGGAAGGAATCATTGTATTGCTTACACTAACTTCAAACAATATACATAATACATGCAGTAGAATGTAGCTGAGTAATTCTTACAATACTGAATTTATCAATCATATTTTCCACTCGGTGAGAGAGGAAGGCTCTCTCTTAATTGAGACCATTTAACATTGTCAATGAAGTTGAGCAATGACCTAGAACTAAATTCAATATATTTGTACTGAATACAGGCTAACCTCTAGTACAATACTAAATTCAGTTTTGAAAAAACTCTGAAAGCAGAAAAGCTCCTTATGCAGAATGCTTATAGTCTAATAAGACAAAAACTGCAACCAATAAATCTTTCAGAAATCCAGTACATGGTTTAAATGTGTTCCTATAGCTGGGTTTCCAATTTATTGACCCAATTCTTTAATGTCAATGCTGAGAAAAGTTTGTTTGAATGAATGACCTTGAATTATATTCAAGGTCACAGGGGTCAAATATGTGAAAATCTTTAAACGATCTCTTCTGAATAACCATGAGGCCCAGAGTGTTGATATTTAGCCAGTAGCATGCTTGGATGAAGGGCTATCAAGCTTTTTCATTTGTTTGACATTGACCCACCATCAAGGTCACATTTGGTCAAATATGTATAAACATTAAAATGACATAGTTTCAATAAGCAAAGGGATAAGGTGGTGATATTTTGCAAGTTGCATCCTGAGATGAAGGGCTATAAAATATGCTCAACTTAATTACCTTGCTTGACTTTCAAGGTCACAGGGGTAAAATGTTTTAAATCTTTTAACAGGTTCTGTTGAATTACTTATAATCATAAATACTGATATATTGCCTGTCGCTTTATTTTAGATTAAGGTTACAAGTGCAAGATTAATACCAAGTGAGCAATGCAGGCCCATTAGGCCTCTTGTAATTATGGTTGGCATCTTTAAACTTTAAACTGATATGAATTAATTAGCTGAAATGAGTTAATGACCTTACTGGGTTGAGATGTTTCCTAACTCTTTAACCAATAGGAACTGTCTTCAAAACTATTAATTTATTGTGCATATTAATAAAATCTTAAGAGTTAAAATTTTCAATGATTTGGTTTAAAGTTTAAAAATCCTCTAGAATGACAGCATAATTCCAATTACCAAATTTTGTAACAAACCATGAAAGCTGTACATAACTGCAACTCCAGTCCCCCCCCCCCCCTAAAATAAATTAATAAGAAAAAGTGATCTGTATCTGGAATGTTGATAACTATTTGATGTATTGTGTTGTACAGTTGACCAGGTGGTTGCCCTGTACTCCTTCACAGCACAGAGCAACGACGAGCTGACAATCCACAAGGGATCTGTGATTAACGTCATCAATAAGGACAAAGCCAACTGGTGGTTGGGGGAATGTAACGGCCAGTCTGGCATGTTTCCTTCCAACTATGTTGATGCCCTCACCACCTCACCCCCACAGGAACCTACATGTAAGTAAAAATCTGCCTCACCACCATACAAACAAAAGGACTCTCCAACACTCCACTGTACACAATCAAATACACGAGACAACCACATACTTTAGATTACAGTATTTTAGCTCACCTGCCAAAAGGGCAAGTGAGCTTCTGCCATTGTGCGGCGTCCGTTGTCTGTCCATCATCCATCCATCGTCCGCTGTCCATCTATCCGTCGTCAACGTTTTACTGGAATGAAGAGCTACCTAAAACCTAAAACCTTTAAAACCTTTAAACAACTTCTTCTAAATAACCAAGAGGCCTAGGATGATAATATTTGCCCAGTAACATGCTGGGATAAAGGACTACCCAAGTTGTTAAGTCACCTGAGACGAAGTCTCAAGTGAGATATTCTAAACGCCTTTTGTCCGGCGTCTGTCTTGCATCCGTAAACAATTTACATTTTAGACTTCTACTCAGAATCCCCTGATCTGATTTCGCTAAAATTTTGCAGGAACCTTCCTTGGTAATATATGCACCAAAATTATGAATTATATGGTTCCTACCCACCGGGGCTTTGAGGGGCGGGGCTAAAAGTGATCAAATTGGCTTAAATTTTTAAAATCTTCTACTTCAGACCCAGATATGCTGGAAACTAATACTCTTCATATGTGAAAGGGTCTTGAGGTATTTTATCAAAATTGTGAATTTCATGACCCTCGAGCTTCACGTTTGCCCCTGGGGAGGGGGTGAAATTTACTATAGTTTATATAGGAAAATGATACTTTTGGGTATATTTTGTTCATTTTCTACTGGAAATCATTCAAACTTGATTTACATTATAACCATGAGATGACAGTTTGAAACTTTGACATTTTTAACCCTGTATCATCCCCAGGGGCATGAGGGGCGGAGCCCAAATGCGATCATATAGCCATAAATTTCAACAGTCATCTTCTCCAGACTGAGATAGGCTGGAAACCAATACTTGTCATAGATGGAAGGGTCTTGAGGTGCTTTATCAAAATTGTGAATTTCATGACCCCCAGACTCCATGTTTGCCCCTGGGAGGGGGCGAAGTTTACTATACTTTATATAGGAAAATGATACTTTTGGGTATATTTGGTTCATTTTCAATTGGAAATTACTCAAACTTGACAGACATTATAACTATGAAACGACGGTTTGATACTTGGACAGTTTGGGCCCGGGCCTGCCGCCAAGGGCTAAGGGGCGGGGCTAAAAGGGGTCAAATTGGCTTAAATCAATAAAGCTTATCCAGACCAAGATATGCTGGAAAAAAATAATCTACATAGATGGAAGGTTCTTAAAGCGCTTTATCCCCTGGGTATTGGGTAAAGTTTACTATAGTTATATAGAAAAATGATACTTTTGCGTATATTTGGTTCATTTCCAATTGGAAATCATTGAAACTTGATGGACATTATAACTTTGAAATGACAGTTTGATACTATGACAGTTTGGGCTTTGGCCATCTTGGAATTCTTCTCCAGACTCAGATATGGCTTCGTTGACTTAAGTACTTACAATTTTGTTGTTTTTTACCATTTAGTTGTATGTAATTTATGTTCAGTATAAAAAGATGCAAAGCTTCCAAATGGCAAATTACAATACACACAAATTCTTCATAGTTGAATCAATATATTAGATAATTGATAGGACAGCTGTTTTCTTTTTAGCCAGTAACCTTACTCAAATAAACAAAACAAAAATCTGACAGCTCATTCTACTGTAATAGGAAAGAAAGAAGTGGAAAGATGAGGTTCCCCAGCTGGGATCGAACCCATGACCCCAGGTTCCGGAGGCCAACACTTTACCACAGAGCTAAAGGGACATATTTTTGTACATAGTACAATACTATCCAGATCTTTCACACTACTTTTGCATTACATGTAGTTCAAGTTACCTTTGTTACAAACTGATTTCTTTTTCATTTGGCAACATCGATAACGTCAGATTTTTACATAACTGCATGATCAGGTGACTGTTAAGGCCCATGGGCCTTTTGTTTGCATTTGAAGGAGATATTGCTAGAAAATATATGTGTTTTTTACCTATATCTGTTATAAATTGTTGTACAAATTATTTTTACCATGCACAGTGGAGTACACAAAATTGAATTTCATGGCAATATGGAATATGAATAAATGCAATTGTTATTGGCCAGATTGCAACGCAATCAGGGCTGATAGATTGGCGATTCCTGTCCGTCTGTCTGCGCTAAGAAGACTGGTTAAGCTCAGTTTCCAAGTTAGTTATTATCCCAAATCAACTAATCTTGCATGGCTTATGTATCTAAGGAAACTTATCACATGCAATGCTTCAGATGCTGGGTCTGACCTACATTTTCCGCTTCACTGACCAGGTTAAGAAGATTGGTTTAGGTCACTTACCAAGTAACTACTTTTCCTTCATCAACTAAATTTGCATGGCTTATGTATCTAAGGATGCTAATCACATGCAATGCTTCAGATGCTGGGTCTGCCCTACATTTTCCGCTTCACTGACCAGGTTAAAAAGATTGGTTAAGGTCAGGCCACATCTGCATTATGGTTTAAGAAGATTGGTGTAGACCACTTACCAAGTAACTACTTGTCCTACATCAACTAAACTTGGATGCCTTATGTATCTAAGGATGCTTATCACATGTGATGCTTTACATGAAAATGTACTGTAGCAATCTGGCCATATCGCCATTGGCGGTTTCTTGTTTTTTTATATTTCTGTAATGAGTTATTTTTTTCATACGATTTATTTGTAATCTACAGTGTTTGGCTAATTTGTCGGTATATAAAAGTAAATAGTTTGTAAAATGTGAATAAAATCATTACTGTCTCCATATGGAAGGTTCTTGTCATTTTATTGGACTATGAAGAGAAAGGGACCCTGCATGGGATGTACTTATAAAATGCATCAAAACTGGAAAAATATGCAGTAAAAGTTCATAAAAATTTGGGAAATACTTAACACGCGTGTGTGGAAAAGAAAAATATATATTTTTTCACTTCCAAAAAAAATGTTTATAATACATTGAATACCTTAATATATGTGGAATTTACTGTAGTTGTTAATTTTTTGTTAAGACCTTTTACCTTTTCTATAAAATATAAAATTGTATACTCATTTGTAATTTGTTGTAAGGTTTGTTTGTTTGTTTGATTTTGTTTAACGTCCTATTAACAGCTAAGGTCATTTAAGGACGGCCTCCCCTGTGTGCAAGATGCATGCATGTAGTGTATGTGTGTGTATTTTGGGAGGCTGCGATATGTTCGTGTTTGTCTTCTTGTAATAGCGCGGAACTGATGCCGACTTTATAGTGCTACCTCACTGAAACATACTGCCGAAGACACCCAGCAGGACGCCCCACCCGGTCACATTATACTGACAACGGGCGAACCAGTCGTCCCACTCCTAATTTGCNTAGGAAAAAGAAAGTTATTTAGAAAGGAGAGAAGAGATAAGGTCCCAAATTTAGTCGCCTCTTACGATCATGCAATTGGGGGCAGCAGGTACAATTCTTACGCCCTACCTGCAGGGCAGGCTTGTTGGTGCTTGTTGTTGTAAGGAATGGCTTCTACAGATTGAATTGATACATAAGCATGATGAGTTACATAATGTATAGCCAAATCCCTTTTTATATCCACAGTATGAATAGTTACATAATGTATGACCAAATCATATTTCAGATCCACAGCATCAGGAGTTACATCATAGCAGCTGCACCAAGGAATGGATCATAAAGGGCTCGCAGTACTACCTTCATATCAGGATCCTATGTGATACAGTTGACAATATTACAAAAGGAACCAAAGCAGCGTTGAATATCACTTCTTTGGAAGAGAGAATCACATCTTTGGGATTTGTTGTGGAGCCCTTGCAGGACTCATTTGCAAAGAGTAATTGTAATTCATTTAGCCAAAGACAGCTTGTTATGGCCTGACAAAGCATCACATCTCGCCATTCTCCATCAAATTTTCATTTCAAATACTATATCTCTAGAAAACCTAAAGAGATTTTGACATCATTTAATATGCAACATCAGTTAATCAAGAAATTTCAGGGTATGCCACTGGGGGCAAAGGGTCAGGGCCATAAATAAAGAAAATAAGGTTAAACCATTAAAAATCCTGCTTTTTAAATATTGGAGGATATTGACTAAGATTAAGATTTAAGGCATTAGGAGTATTATAAAGACTTCTTCTCCAACAAGGTTTGATAGATTTTGAATTTAGACATTAGCTTACCTGCACAAAGGGCATGTATGCCGTGGCAGGGCAATCCGTCAACTTTTCCTTTAAACAACATCTTTTGAAGAACCAGAAAGCCTACAGTCATGATATTTTACTTGTAGCTTTCTGATGAAGAGTCCTATAAAGTTGGTGACAAAAATGACTGACCTACTTTCAAGGTCACAGGGGTCAAATATGTCCAAAACTTCAAACAGCTTTTCCTGAAGAACTTGAAATCTCAGATGTGATGTTTGGCTGGGAGCTTCCAGGGTTGAAACCTTAATTACAAGGTTTGCGACAAAAAAATAAATGCTTTGACCCTCTTTCAAGGTCAAGGTAGTCAAGTGTGTAGAAATAAAAAAACAAAATTCTGCTGAATAACCAAGATTTAGGTGATTACATTTGTATGTGTTGTTTCAAATGAATGAACTTGACACATTTTCTAGGTCACAGAGGTCAAATGTGTTAGAACATTTAAAAGGCTTATTCTGAATAACCAAGGGCTTTTATATTTGGCAAGTAATGTCATAGTGTAGAGCTATTTAAAGAATGTATTCTAAATGAATTACCTAGATCATCTTTGAAGAACTGATTGTTTCACCCACGTTCAAGGTCATAGGGGTCAAATGTGTTAAAATAAGAAAAAAACTTCTTTTGAACTTCCGTCTATGTGCTGAACCTTGGCATCTGTCCTCCGTCTGTCAACTTTTTTCCTTTCAAACGCTTCTAGTCCTGAACAGCTTTATGGATTTTAACTAGGCCTGGAGCATCCGTGGGCAAAGGGGACTACATTTTGTATGAACGGAGGGTGTGGCCCCTCTGGGTGGAGAGGGGTGGGGCACAATAGGGGAAATTCAGGTATATCTTTAAAATCCTTCTCCTTCAGTATGATTGGAGTTATTTTAACCCAATTTGGTCAAGAACATCATTTTGCAAGGGAACTCAATTTGCTTTAACAGATTGTGGTCCTTCTGGGAGCAAAGGAGAAGGGTTCAGTAGGGGAAACATAGTAATAAATGTTTAAAATCCTTCTCCTTTGTTTAGAGCATCCTTGGGCAAAGGGGACTCAATTTTTGTGTCGCCTGTGAAAAGCTGGTGACACATAGGTATTGCTTTGTCGACGTTGGCGGCATCGTTTGGCGGCGGCTGCGGCGTCCAAACAGAAGTTTTCACGCGATAACTTGAGATTCCTTAGGCCTATCAAACTCAAACTTCATGCAGTGCTTACTTACCAAAAGTGCTTGCTTGGAATTGCTTTTCAGGTCCGAAGGTCAAAGGTCAAGGTCACTGTTACTATGAATAGAAAATCTGTTTTCGTGCGATTACTTGAGTTTCCTTGGGCCGATCAAACTCAAACTTCATGCAGTGCTTCCTTACCAAAAGTGCTTGCTTGGGATTGCTTTTCCGGTCCGAAGGTCAAAGGTCAAGGTCCCTTACTATAAATAGAAATCTGTTTTCGTGCGATTACTTGAGTTTCCTTGGGCCGATCAAACTCAAACTTCATGCAGTGCTTCCTTACAAAAACTGCTTGCTTCGGATTGCTTTTCAGGTCCGAAGGTCAAAGGTCAAGGTCACTGTTACTTTAAATAGAAACTTCACTAAAACTGTATACTGGACGGCTTCGATCTACCACTTGACCCACCGTGTATACCTCTGAAATGCCATCTTACTCCAAATGTTATTGACAACACTAGCTGTTTAACATCATAATCCACAAGTGTATTCATTCCGACAAATCATACAAATTAAACTTGGAATTGAGACACAAAAAAACTTCTCCTTGTGTAGGAATGGAGGGATTTCAACCAAATTTGTTCTAGAGTATCCTTGGGAAAAGGGAACTCAAAATTGTATTAACAGAGAATGTGACCCCCATAGGGACAGAGGGGTGGTGCCCAATAGGGGAATTAGAGGTAAATCTTCAAAAAACACTTCTCCTTCCATACCAATGGAGGGATTCAAACCAAATGTTTTCAAGAGCAACTTTGGGCAAGGGATGTATATTTTGTAAAACAGATGGTGTAGTAACTAGGGGGGCACCACGGTGGGACGCAATAGGGTAAATAGAAATAAACCAGTGGAGGGTTTTTCACCACATTTGTTCTAAAGCATCCTTGGGGAAAAGGGAATGGTGCCCAATAGGGGAAAATACAGGAAAATCTATAAAACCCCTCTCATTCTGTAGCAATTTAGGGATTTTAATTTAATTTGGTCTGGAGCATCCTTAGGGGAAAAGGATTCTAATTTCATATAAACAGTTGATGTTGTACCTGGGGCAAAGGAGTGGGACCCAGTAGGGGAAAATAAAGGGAAATCTTCAAAAATCTTTCTCTTTCTGTACCAATCAAGGATTTTTAGTCCATCATTGGTTCCGGGGAGTGGGTGGGTGGTAGGGGGGAACTATAGTTTTCATTCCTTCTGTCCGTCATTCTGTCCTTCTGTCCAAAAAGTTTGTCTGGGGCTTTTATACTATATCACCTGGAGTAACAAGATTTGGTGTACAAGGACATCTTAAGATGGCATATTGCAGGGTGCAAGAAGAAGGTCACTATGACTTCACTGTGACTTATGCTTTGACCTTTTGAAAATATTTAACCCCTGCGGAACGTGTTTGCAGGGGATATTAAATTGGGCTCCTTCCGTCTGTCCGTGCATTGGGTTTTTCCGAACCAGAGTTCTGAAACCGTTCAGTACTCAAAATTTTGTACAGTTATCAAGCTAGTACTCTAGTAGTGCCTTTTGCTATGGAGAAGTTTTTTCCATATAAATACTTTTTCTGTTACCATGGAAACAGATGGGCCAAAATATAGATTGGCATTTTCCGGACCAGAGCTCTGAAACCGTTCCAAGATAACTACATACTCCAAATTTTGTACAGTTGTCAAGCTAATACTCTTGTAGTGCCTTTTGCTATGGAGAAGTTCCCATTTAATGACTTTTTCTGTTACCATGGAAACAGGTAGGCCAAATTACAAATTTCAGTTGTATGGATCATGACTCCAAAACTGTTCAAGATAACTACCTGAAACTTTGTATAACTATCAAGCTAGCATTCTAGTAATGCATTTTGCTATGGAGGAGTACTCATTTTTAACTCACCTGGTCCAAAGGACCATGGTGAGCTTATGCCATACCGCAGCGCCTGTCGTCCGTCCGTCCATCAACTTTTCCTTGGGGGCAGAGGGGGCGGGGCCGAATAGGGGAAATAGAGGTTACTAAAACTTTCAAAAACCTTCTATCGTAGGGATTAAGGGATTTTATCATAATTGAGTCTGGAGCATCCTTGGGCCAAGGGGACTCATTTTGTATAAAGGGTGGGTGTGGCCCTCCTGGGGGGAAGAGGGGTGGGCTCCAATAGGGGAAATAGAGGTAAAACCTTCAAAATCCTTCTCCTATTGTAGGGATTAAGGAATTTAATCCTTATTTAGTCTGGAGCATCCTTGGGCCAAGGGGACTCAATTTTGTATAACGGGTGAGTGTGGCCCCCCTGGGGGCATAGTGGCAGGGCCCAATAGAGGAAATAGAGGTAAAACCTACCGTAGGGATTAAGGGATTTTATCCTAATTTAGTCTGGAACATCCTTGGGCAAAACAGTGAGTGTTGCCCCCCTGGGGGCTGAGGAGTGGGCCCAAATAGGGGAAATATAGCAAATTCTTCAAAATCCTTCTTCTTCTGTAGGAATGACAGGATTTTGTACAAATTTGATATGAAGTATCCTTAGGTGAAGGGGAACCAATTTTGTATAAACGGTGGGTCTGACCCCCCCCCACCCTCCCCTTTTTGCAGAGAGGCAGGGCCAAAAAGGAAAAATATCTTTTAAATCCTTCTCCTTCTGTAGGAATGACAGGATGATGTCCATATTTGGTCTAAAGCATCCTTGAGTAAAGGGTCCTAATTTTGTATCAACACTGGGTCTGGGCCCAATAGGGGAAACATAGCAAATTCTCCGAAATCTTCCTTTTATTTTAGGAATAACAAGATTTTATCCAATTGCATATAAATATAACCCCTGACTAACTATGTAATACATGTACACTTCCAGTTACATCATGCTATTCTAACTTCAATTTTACAGTAAAATGTCAAAAACCTTTCAAGATAACTACATGTAGCTGAAACTTTGTCCACTTATCATCCTATCACTCTAGTTAGGCAAAATTACAAATTTCACGGTTTCCAGAGCATGGCAACAAAATTGTTCAAGAACTGCCTGAAACTTTGTACACTTTGTACAAGCTAGCACTCTCTTGGTGCATTTTGCTACTGGAGGAGTTCTCATTTTGGATATATTTTTTTATTTTTCTGTTGCCATGGAAACATGGCAAAAATACAAATTTGAGGTTTCTGAAGCATGATCTCAAAACTATTAAAAACAAGTACTAATTGTAATGTCCCCATAGTCGCAAAGATGCATCAGAAAAGGTTCGCAATGCCATAATACATTTACAATATACATACTAAATTTGAGTGACATCGCACAATTTCTGAATTGCGACCAATCAGAAGTGTCTGTGTGCTTGCTATAGCAACGAAACCTATGCGATTGAATTTGCAGTCCCCTAATACCCCTATTTACCAATTGTCTTCAAAATCAAACAATATCTAAATGTGACCAATCAGAAGCCTCTGTGTGGTTGTTATGGTAACAAATTATATGTGGTTTTATTCAGATTATGAAATTGACCGGTTTCTCACGATATACCTAAATACCAAGTTTTATGAAAATCAGACAATATTGAAATGTTGACCAATCAGAGGCCAGGAAATAGCAGTCTTTTTATTTTTTCACAAAACGAACACCGCAGTTGTGTTCGTAGTGCCATCTACACCTACATACCAAATTTCATCAAATTGAACGATATTTTAATTTCGACCAATCAGAAGCCTGCATTTGGCTGCCATTATGAATCCAAAGTCATTTTTTTTTTTGTCGAAAACGAGTGCTGTGATGCTATAATCCCTTTCACTGAGTTCATTATGTTCCATCAAATAGCACGAATGTTATTACTGGATATAATTTCAACATTGAAATATAGACCATTGAGAGGCCAGGAAATGGCAGACATTTTTTTTTTTCACAAAACGAACACCGCAGTTTTGTTTGTAGTGCTTTATTACACCTACATACCAAATTTTATCCGAATTGGACGATATTTAACTTTCGACTAATCAGAAGCCTGCATTTGGCCGACATTTTGAATCTAAAGTGAAATATTTTATGTCGAAAACAAGCGCTGTGACGTTATCAACCCTTTCAGTGAGTTTCATTATGTTCCATCAAATAGAACGAATGTTATTACTGGATATGATTTCGGCCAATAGGAGCCAGCGGGGGCCATCTTAGATGGTTGACCTGGAAAAAACGAGTAAGATGCACAACTAGAATTTGTACTGATTATGTATGCAAAGTATGATAAGAATCCCATTAGTAGTTTCTGTGATATGCTGCGGAAATGTTTACGGCGGAGGAATGATGATAATAAGGATAAGTAAGAAACGGAACAATAACAATAAGTCTCCCCGACTTGGTCTGGGGTGACTCAATAATAAAAATAATAAGAAGAAGAAACGGAGCAAAAACAATATGTCCCCAAACTTTGGAGCCGTTTGGGTGACATAATAACAAATTGACATTTGACTTGTACACTTATCAACCTAGCACTCTATTGGAGCCATTTGCATTCAAGATGTTTACAGGAAGTTTGGTATACTTAAATATGAAGCTAGTGCTCTTATCAAGCCTTGTTTGATGGGGAAGTCATCAGTGTTTTGTAAAAGATGATCTACATCAAAATATTAGTAACAGTGGTGAAATGGAGTTAATACATGTTATTGTAATATTAACATATATATATATATATGATGTGTGTCTTTCTTTTAAACAGCGGGGTGAGGGGGATAATGTCACGCTTTGCATTATCTTGTTGTCCAGAGCATATCTTCTATACTATTTCACCTGGAGTAACCAGATTTGGTATACAAGGACATCTTAGGATGGCAGAGTGCAAGAATTAGGTCACTGTGACCTATGACTTGACCTTTGACCTTTACTTTTGAAAAAAATTGTCCTTTGCATATCTTCTGTACAATTTCACCTAGAGTAACCAGATTTGGTGTAGAAGGACATCTTAGGATGGCAGAGTACAAGAATTAGGTCTCTTTGACCTATGACTTGACCTTTGACCTTTACTTTTGAAAATTTTGTCCGGAGCATATCTTCTATACTATTTCACTTGGAGTAACCAGATTTGGTGTACAAGGACATCTTTGGATAGCAGAGTGCAAGAAGTATGTATCGGGCTACTTCCCTAAAAGTAGGTACTGTACATGCTTACATAAGTGTACTGTTTGTTAAATATAGAAATAACTACTTGTGGGGGACTATGGATTGCCTTGCAATATTTTGCATTGTTCACCAAATGAGTTTGTGAGCGTCTGGGCGGGTCTAATAGGAAAAAATAGATGTATATCTTATAGATACCTTCAACTTCCATAACAATGGAAGGATTTAAACCAAATTTTGTATAAATGAAGGATGTGGTACCCCACCACACCTAGAGGGCAGAGGGACAGGGTGCAATAGGGGAAATAGAGGTAAATACTTTAAAATCCTTTTAATTCTGTAGCAATGGAGGGATTTTAATCAAAACTGGTCGAGAGCATCCTTGGACAAAAGGGACTCAATGTTTATTTTGTAAGTGAAGAGTGTGGGACACGTACCTAAGGGCAGAGAGTTGGGGCCCAATAGTGGAAAAAGAGGTAGACTAATATAATCTATAACTTTACATAATTGGAACATTATGGATTTTGAAACTTATTACTATTAAGGGTGTGTCAAGAAACTTGATTCTAGTCATGAGTGAATGTTGATGCTGTGGTAATCAGGGTGCAACAAAGCTTTTGATCATAGTGCGATTACCAAATGGTTACAGTTCCCTTTATAGGAAATAGTTCAACCGTTATCACTTGTGTATATTCTGTAAATATATGTAGTGAAGTGTTAATAAATTTGTTGAATTTATTTCATTGTTGTTGATTCTACCTCCATCTTCCAGTATTCACTACTCAACTTCATGACATTCACCCTATAAGCAGATATAGAGAAGCTAGACATGAATAGAAGAAGACAATCATAAATATCAGGATTTGGCCCGGAGGTCTCCGACCCAACCTTAGGGACTAACTCCCTGGGTCATACCATGGAAAATGTTGAGATCACCCCTCCATAACCATGTACTATAGTTATACCCCCGCAACAAAGTTAGGGGGGTATACTGGAATCACCCTGTCTGGATGTCTCTGGATGTCTGTCTGTCTGTTGTCTGTAGTAACTTGTCCGGAAAGCTCCTCCTTAATTAACAGGTGGATTTCATTGAAACTTTGCATGAATGATCAGTATCTTATGTAGTTGTGCAACAGCATTTTAATTTGGGATTTCGAACCTTTTTGATGGAGTTATGCCCCTTTTTGTGAAATACTTGTTTATTTTTTTGTTATTTTATTTTTTTGTTTTTATTAAATTAGTGATTACCATAACTTATTACTGGTGGGAGACTATAATGCTTTGCATAAATAAGCCTTTAGCGTACAGTTCTGGTTGATATAGGAGCGGGGGTATTAGTTAGCCTTTGGCTTACAGTTCTAGTTAGTTCTTCTTGAAACTTGTAGTTCTTGTACTTCTTTGATAAACTGATATGGTACACAGCAAGTTTTAAATAAAAAATAAAATACCATGAGAGCTATTGAGACCCCTTGGCCAATAGCATTTTCATTGTTGTAAAAAAAAATGTTTACATTTTGAATTTTGATTTTTGATTTTTTTCATTAATTGTTTGCTTTTTATGTCTCAATTTTCACACATACAATCAAATTGTTATGTTTACTACTTTTACTGCAGAAGAACTGACATGCAAGGACCAAGCAAACATGATCAAGAAAGCAGTTTTGGAAGTAAAAGACAATAACAAGTACTTGCAGGAAATCAAGATACTTGTTAAGTCAACAGAGGACTTTGATTGTTTTCTAGCGTGCAAGGAGACAAAAATAGAATCACAGGAACATGGCTGGCTCGCAAAATACAAGAGAAATATTTCTGCGACAGTAGGGGATTCGTTTGGTGCCGGTAAGATTATGTATAAAACAGTTTGGATATACTAGCTGGTAATATTTTGCATACCTGGTCCAAAGTATCTGATAAAAATACAAGTAAATATTTAAAAGACTACTTGTTAAGTATAAATGAAATGTTTTGCCTATGTGTGGGCTTATGGTTGTATGATGCAGCATTCATTCTCTATCTATCTGTCAAAATTTTTCATTCAACGAATTCTTTTTGAAAATTAAAGGACTCGGGTCAGATATGTTAAAAACTTTAACAACATTTTGTAAAGAGTCCTGATACAATTTGTCTTTCTTTTTGGTGCTTGGGTCATGAATATGAAAATCTTTTAAAGTTACCAGGTAATAACATGCATGAACACAAAAATTCTTTCAGGATTAACTCATGGATCTGGACCCTGACCCCTCAGAATTTATATCTAGGTCTTTTTATGGGAAAGATAGACCGCAACCATATATCTATTTACACAAACATAACATTATTTTTTCATGATTGCTTAAAGTTGTTAATATTTAAGGTCCTCCCTCACTTTTATGTGTAAAAGATCTTTTATTTATATGTTTTAAACTATCAGAGCAATATCTAAGTTTGGTATTTCGGCTGCATGGCACGTAAATCACGGAACTTATGATTTGGTCATTATTCTTTTTATTTTTAAAACTATCAGAGCAATATATTACAATTGTCCATGTAACGATAATCAGCAACCAATAAAGCTTACATGTATATACAGTTAAATTGTTATAAAAGTATCATCAAGTGAAAACGGCATTCTTTGCATGATGCAGTGATGTAAGATAAAAAATAAAAATAAATATCCTAAAAACGTTAATTTTTGGGAACAGAGGGGACAAACACCATTTATATGTAGGTCTAAGTAATAATTAATTAATTAAGATGTCTTATAAAAAAGACATGTAATCTGCATACATTGAAGATATCTTGGAAAATAAAGCAATCTTTAAGTCATTTTATATAATGATTTAAGAAAAATCTAGTGATAAAACGTATATGTTTCCATGCTTATTCATTTGTACTTAAAGAATATCAAAATCTATATAATTACCTGTAATTGATCAAGATCGGGTTATCTCAGTCAAGAGCTAGGATTCTGTGACTATATATATAGTTCCAACTAAGGGGTAAGCTGAGGTTGGAATATTACAGAATCTTAGCCCAGTAATTGATCTGTTATCTTGCACCTTTTAGTTGGAAAAAATTATTCAATTCACAGCAAAAATAATCACTCTTTATTTGCTATCCTGGTCCGAAGGATCATGGTGAGCTTATGCCATACCGCAGCGTCCGTTGTCCGTCGTCCATCCGTCAACTTTTCATTTAAAACGGTACTAGTCCTGAGTGGCCCAGTAGATTTTGATTAAATTTGGTCTGGAGCATCCTTAGGCCAAGGGGACTCAATTTTGGATGAACAGGTGGTTGTGACCCCCTTGGGGGCATAGGGGTGGGCCCAATAGGGGAAATAGAGGTAAAACCTTTAAAATCCTTTTTCTACTGTAAGGGTAAAAGGATTTTATCCTTATTAATCTGGAGCATCCTTTGGCCAAGGGGACTCAATTTTAATTTTTTATAACCAGTGGATGTGGCCCCCGTGGGGGCAGAGGGGTGGGGCCCAACAGAGCAAATAGAGGTAAAACCTTTAAAATCTTTCATCTATCGTAGGGATTAAGGGATTCCGTCCCAATTTGGACTGGAGCATCCTTGGGCTAAAGGGACTTAATTTTGTTTAAACAGCGAGTGTGGCCTAATAAGGGAAACATAGAAAATACTTCAAAATCCTTCTTTTCCTGTAGGAATGACAGGATTTGTCCAATTGCATATAAATATAACCCTTCACTAACCATGAAATAAATGTACACTAGCTACCAGGTACCTTTGGCTATTTCAACTTCAATTTTGCAAACATTTCCAGGTGAGCAATACAGGCCCTCTTTGCCTATTGTTTAATTAAGTATGCTACACATACGTCCCAGACAATGATGTCACACGTGGGAGGACCTTTATTGTTAAACAATGTTTCTGCCTAATGTCGCACACATCACATATCTCTCTGACAAAACAACAAGTAACATTTAGAGAAATGCACTGTATGTTTTATAATATTTTACCTTCAATGTTTTTTAGATACAAGCAAATGCCCATGGAAGATTGTAAGATACATCAAGAAGTCTGATTCTGGGTTTAAAGTGACAGTTGTTGCAGACAAGAGAGACATCGCAAATGTCATGGAAAAATTCCGGTCAGAAACTAATAACCAGGATGACACTAGGAGCCTTCGTGGCAACCAAACTTTCACTGGAGACGGTACAGTACAAGGTGCCACTGGTGGTCATCATGATAACCAAACTCTCACTGAAGAAGGTAGAGTACAGGGTGCCACTAGGAGCCTTGGTGGCAACCAAACTTTCACTGGAGACGGTATAGTACAGGGTGCCACTGGTGGCCATCGTGGTAACCAAACTCTCACTGAAGAAGGTATAGTACAGGGTGCCACTGGTGGCCATCGTGGTAACCAAACTCTGACTGAAGAAGGTAGAGTACAGGGTGCCACTGGTGGCCATCATGGTAACCAAACTCCCACTGAAGAAAGTAGATTACAGGGTGCCACTCGTGGCCATCATGAGTACCAAACTCCCACTGGAGATGGTAAAGTACAGGGTACCACTGGTGGCTGTCATGGTAACCAAACTTTTACTCGAGACAGTAGAAAACTTTGTGCTACTGATAGCCATCGTGTTAACCATGAAAACACCAGAAAAAAAAGAGACATGGACAAAACAGGAGTTCATACCCAGGCTAGACACAGTCCAGTTCAGCAGCCTATGCACCAAAAGGGCAAACAGCCACTTCCAGTTCAGGAAAATGATGTAAGTCATTTTATTAGGGCATTTCATTAGAAGATGTAAAGACCTGTTGTGTTTTGTTAAATGCTTTTTAGGTCACCTGAGCTTTGCTCAAGTGACCTATTCCAATCACTTTCCGTCCGTCGTCGTCCGTCGCGCGTCGTGCGTAAACTTTTTACATTATCAACTTCTTCTCAAGAACCAGTGGATGGAATATTTTCAAACTTGGTCAGAATCATCCTTGGTAGATGAGGCTACCAAATTGTAAAATTGGGATTCCTATCCCAACCCTAGGGGCCAGGGCGGGGCCCAAAAGGGAAAATTAACCAATATTTCAAAAATCTTCTTCTCCAGACTCAGAGGTATTACAGTCATAGTTTATATAGGGAAACAACACTTTTGGGTATATTTTGACAATTTTCAGTTGGAAATTATTTTTACTTGGCCAGAATCATCTTTGGTGGATGACGGTATCACATTGTAAACTTGGAATTCCTGTCCCATCCTCAAGGGTTAGAGCGGGGCCCCAAAGGGAACATTTACAAATATTTTAAAATTCTTATCCTTTGATGACATGACAAGTATTGTACTTCACTTAGTTTACATGCTGATTTCCACATCACATCTAAACAATAAAATAAAGCTACCAGTACCTATGATATAACTCAGGTGACCGCTAAGGCCCTTGGGCCTCTTGTTATTATTATTTTTCTATAGAAAATGTGTTTTAGTTGTTTATGTACATTAAAGCCATGGTCAAAAAGGTGTCATTGCAACATTTTCAATGAGATAAAAAAAAAACCATTAGGGCTACCATGATGCCATATGTCAAAATCTTGAAACAGCCATAACTCAAAAACAATTGATTATATAGCATTCATGCAATTATACCATTTTTAGATATTGGTCTGAGCTAACCTTAACTCATTACATGTTATTAGAAAAATGTCAAATTAAAATCTCCCTGTCTGGTCAAAGGTCACTAATTTTCAACTTGTTTTTTCAACTTTTTTGAAAAATTCTTTTACCTGTTGAAGGGAAATTCTAGCATGATCAATTTGATGTCTTCATTTTTTTCTGTTATGTTTACTGTTAAGGTCATATGCCATTTTAAATATTTCATTTGATCTTTTTGAAATAACAACAATACTTTAAAACCATATTTTTCTGAAGTTCTGTTAAGCAAATTTCATGCAATCTAGGTATTTGTTTGCCTGGAGTCCCTACATTGGTTCAAGAAGCACTGTAGTGGAATTCCATAGTTTCTTCTTATATAAGGTGATGGTCCTCTACCTGCATCAGAAAGGTTCCAAATTTTATCCAAAATGGCCAGAAGGGGCCGCTAGGGAAGGATGGCTGACACAGTGTTCATTCTATACATTTGTATCACGAATAATTTTCAATGGATTAACTTCAAACTTCATAGGAAGGTTGCTTACCTCAAAAGCTGGAATGAGTTTGATAAACACCATTATCAAATAATAATTTATGGCGTTATGCCTCTTTATTCAATTGTCAAAATGGGGTCCTCTCAATAGTATTAAGCAATTTGTAACAGATCAACTTCAAAGGGAGGTTAATCAAAGTGTAATTTATGGAGTTATGCCCCTTCAGTTAATTGGCAAAACACTGTCTACTCATTTATAACAGATTATCTTCCGTCCGTCTGTGTGTCCCTCTGACCGGTGTCAACTTTTCACTGTACACAACTTCTTCTCAGTAACCAAAAGGCCTAGGATGATGATATCTGGCCAGTAGCATGCTGGGATGAATTACCTTCATCCATTTTCAAGGTCACAGGGGTCAAATATGTTAAAACCAAGAGGCCTAGGGTGACGATATTTGACCAGTAACAAGTAACATGCTGGGATGAATGGCTACCTAGTTTGTTCAAATGAATGACCTTGACCTATATTCAAGGTCACAGGTGTCAAATATAATAAAAAAAACTTTAAACAACTTCTTCTGAATAACCAAGAATCCTAGGGGTGATGATATTTGGCCAGTAACATGCTGGAATAAAGGACTACAAAGTTTGTCAAATGAATGACCTTGACTTTTATTCAAGGTCACAGGGGTCAGATATGTTTAAAACCTTTCAACCACTTGTTGTGAATAACAAAGAGGCCTAGGGTGATGACATTTGGCCAGTAACATGCTGGGATGAATGGCAACCAAGTTTGTTCAAATGAATGACCTTCACCCATTTGCAAGGTAACAGGGGTCAAATATGCTGAAATCTTTAAACAACTTCTGAATAATATAAAGGTCCAGGGTTATGATATTTGGCCAGAAGCATGCTGGTATGAAAGGCTATAAAGTCTGTTCAACTTAATGGCATTGATTGACTTTCAAAGTCACATGTTTAAATCCTTTTATATATTCTAAATTATATTATATTATAAAATACACTGGTATGTTGCCTGTAGCTCTATTTTAGTCCAAGATTAATACCAGGTGAGCGATTCAGGCCCATTAGGCCGCTTGTTTTTGCCCTGGATGACTTAAAAGTACAACCTTTTGTCTCCATATCTGTGTCTTCCTAAGTGTTTTCACTAACACTTTTCACATGACCAAAATTTGGTCAAGTGACAAAATGACCTGGTTCATCACTGTCGTTTTATTGTTGAACTCTGTATGGTTTGCTTTATGTTTTTCCAGAGAGGAATCAACTCTGTCTTTATGGCTGACTACTGGCCATCACTACCGACATTTAGACAGCAGGATGAGAGCGGTGGCAAGTCTCAAAATGAAAAACTTCAACCTGGATCTTCACAACATCAAGGTAAGTGATATTACTGTGATCATACATAGGTAATCACAAAAAACACCTGGTTTCCATTTTGCATTTCATTCTATCTGTTTTTTCATTCCTAAAAGGAATCTTTAATAAAACTAATTTTTGATCTTTTTAATGAAAAATAAGCCTTTTTACATGTTGATGATGAGATAATTATTCTAGGAAGAAGAAATCATTTATTCAGCAATTATTAATAAGGTCATTTAAGGCTGTTGATAAATCTATGTCGCCATTGTAGCTACTGAAGATTTCTCTGTGGAATGGATTTGCACAGCAGTAAAGGTGAAGATAGAGAAACTGGAAGATGAGGAAAAAGAGAAAATGAGCTTCTATCCAAAAGGGAATAGCAACCTTATACACTATCTCTGTAAGCATGATTTAGCAAATCTAGCTGCGGAACAGGGCTGGAAACTCATTCTGGAAAACAGGGACCAAAAACTTGTTGCTAAACTTCTGATTAAAAAAGAAGTCCCAATTGAGAACTGTAGAGATAAAGTCAGAGAGTTAATTGTTAAAACTCTTCCCAACTTACATGAAGAGAAATGCTACCTTTCATCTCTGAGCAACAAGGAACCTAGTGACAGAGACCAAGGTAACAAGGGTCCGCTACAACAAGCTCTTGCTTGTCTAGTTCCATTGATCAAAGCTGGTCAAAATCAGGCTGACGTTCTGTATGACAAGGATTTGGATTGTCTGATCATAACAGGCCCTACAGAAACTGTCAAACAGTTACACGTGGAGGCAAAGGTCAAGTTGTACAGTGTTACCATGGAGACAGTTTTAGAGTCTCCATCACATGGATGTTTGTTGAGGACATTTAGGGTCATTGATAAACTGAGAGGTCAGTATCCAGGTCTCACAGTGGTTGTACAGGATTGCAACACAAAAATAACATGGACTGGAACTGAAGAGAACATCAGAGGTGGTCGAGAAGAGATGGAGAAGTTTGTTAGAGAAATTAAAGCGAACACATTCCATGTTTCTACGGTGATGAAGAAGCTGCTGTTGACACCAGAGGTAAAACACTACATTGATAATGTACTACATAGGGACGGTATCACTTGTGTATGGCAAGTTACTGAAACCAGACAAGTAGAGGTTTGGTCAATGCAGGTTTCATCTTCCAAGCGTGTTGGGCTCAAAATTAGAGAAAATTTCAAAGAAGAGGCCTTCTTGGTAAAGGACTTTCCATTTATTTTAGAAGTTTCAAAAGTAGGATTTGGTCTCAGTACCTCAGAGATGAACAATTTTTCAGTGGAAGAGACCTCTGACACAGTCCACGTAGCTGCAAAGTCTGATACCATGCAAAAGATTTACCAGTATTTGCAAGATTTGGAGGATCACCAAACTCCTGGAAAACAATCATCAGTCAATACAGGTAACTTGAGATAATCATCTAAAAAAAGACTTAGCTATATCTTACACATTGTAGCAGGTCTCGGCTGGGTGACTACCGGTGACCATGTAGGTAGCTTAATTGGTCCAGGATTCGAATCTAGGCCTGTCACTGTTGCAGTGATGTGTGTATGAATCAAGGTTGTTTGCACTTCTCTTCCCAAATGCACTGATTTGAATGATATATGGCACACAGAACCCTTACACCAAGGGGATGTGAATGGAGTTTACAACTAGGAGTTACATTCCTTACTTATGGAGTTATTCCCCTTCAAAAGTGCTTCACAGATTTGAATGATACTTAGTACATACAACCTTTACATTGAGGTAGTGTGAATTAGATAATGTGAATTTGAGTTGCTTCCCTTATTTGTGGAGTTATGTCCCTTTGTTTGTTTAAAAACATTGTTGGCACTAACATACTCCATCAATTCTAGTACACTCATATTTCAATTTTGAGATGTATTTTTATTGGCTCTAATTAGGATACTGTTGCGATTGACTTTGAATACAAAAAACTAATTTCTTAATGCTGACCACTCTTATTAACTTCCTAGAGGGAGATAACTCCGAGAAGACAACAAGTGGCTGTACTATAGAAGTACGAGGGATGGACAAACTTACATCAAACGACACTGTAGAACTCTACTTTGAAAGCAAAAGAGCAGTGGGTCGTCCAGTTGACATTGAAAACTTTGATGCATCAAAAAGAGAAAAAGACGGTGTCATCTTCATCACATATGAAAATGAGGAAGGTAATATATCTGTTACTGGTGGACAAGTGATCTATACAGCAGGCTTCACCCTTACTCCTGCCATTTAAAATCAAAACAAAAACTTCTGCATTTTTATTTTCAAAAATGAAATGTTATAAATAAGCTAGTTGTATACCCCCACTGACAAGCTTTAGGTGAATCAAAGGACTTATACTGGATAACCATGATCCGTTATTCTCTCCGTGGGTATTTTTGTCTCAGGTGTCTTTTTTGAAGAGAAGAGTAAGATATCAAACTGACATAGAACTAATGAAGATGTTACAATGATCGACACCTAGATCCCTCTTGAATTTCTTGTTTCTTAGAGTTATGGCCCTCGAAACTCAAAATTTTTGCTCCAGAAACAGGTGTAGGCACAAGCTTGGGGTATATATATCTTTGCGAGCTCGCTCACGTTCTCCTGATTGTATTGTTAAACTGTTTTGCTGCTAGCTGTTGATAGTGTCTAACAGTTTGCTGCCAAGAGTATTTAGGGGAGGAATTGTTTTTGTTAAGATATGACCAAACTTATATCAAAACATGGAAGCTTATTTTTAGTTGAATTTCAAAGGTTTGTAACAACAGTAGGGATTCTAAGCAGTACTGTTACCTGTTGGATGTTGTACATGTATGTTTTCCAAACATGATCAATTTCCTTACAGTGGTACACAAAGTTTGCCAGAAAACACACAAATTGGATGGGAAAACGCTCACTGTGCAGACTTACCATGAAATGCTGGGCCACAGGGTCAGCCATACAGAACCAACCTTTAAGGTCCCTTGCCCCTTGGTTATCAAGGATGCTGACCAAAATACAGTCCAGCACCTCATGCCATCTGACTTGACAAAACTGGAAAAACAGTTAAATGACCATCACGCAAAACTACATTGGCCAGGAGACATTCCCGGGCACCTGAAGCTGGAGTGCCTGTTAACAGAGGATGTGGTGGACAGCATTAGACTTGTCATTTCCTGGGAGGAGGTGGTTCAAAATATTCTGAGCAATTTTCTGGCTCAGGCACGGGTAAGTACACTGATATTTATTTATAGACTAGAAAGGAGTTGAAAGTTAAAATACTAATAACAGTTATGTTTTTAGGAAGAAAGCTCTGGTTAAATAGTAAAGAATACTATATTTATCCAAGGAAAACACTTTTACATTTCTGGCTGTTGTTCAATTGGGACAGGATATGCCATATACCTGGTTTGAAGCTGACCTACCTTTATTTTCAGTTTTAAGGGAATTCATGAAATTTGACCTGGTGCCTAGCTGTCCCAATCTTTTCATTCAGTCTTATCAATTCACCTTTCATGCAATCAGTCCCTCAAAGCTTAATGATACCGGGTAGTCCACTCCCCATAACAGATTTATCAGAGTAAAGTCATGTGACATTTTTTAGGTGGACGCCAAATTCCTTTTGTGATCTCATGTTGAAAATTTTGTCGTCATCTAGATAGAAGGATACTTATTATTGCTCTTTTGCACCATACATTTGAACGTTTCTTGTATATTCTGCTACAGTCACAATTAATAATTAAAATCTTATTTATAGTAATAATTGCAATACCTGTGACTGTTTAAAAACTTGTGACTGCCGTTTTTTTTATTGGTGATGCAGACAACAAAAGCTCAAGTTGCCGTGAGGTCTCCAGATGTCGCAGGATCAACAAAGGACTCTTTAGGAAAGGTTTGCTTTTTTAGAATACCATGAATCAGGTTACATTACGGCAAAAATTCTCATTTTCAGGTTTCTAGTTTGAGTTTTCTATATGTTTGCTCGCCTTACAGACTTGGGGTGAAAAATTTAAGATGGGGGGCTTTCGTGTTTGCCTTCGGTTAGGGACTACCAGCCGTCGTTCACCGACTTCTTCATTGATCCCGGCATTTGGGGGATGTTGTTGTCATGGACAGTATTGGTGCTGGGCCTGTTCTTTCGTGTACAGGTCCTGGGGTTGCTACGGACTTTCATGTGGGATTGTCTGTGTCTACAGGGATTAGTGACGCTTAGCTCACTACAATCCCAGCACCAATGCTGGTCTGGCTTTTCCACCTGGTCACTTAACCAGCCCCAGTCCTATTAAGTCCGGCCTGTAGTTTCCTTTGACCGGGAACCAAGGGTTTTTCTCCCAGGGCTTGGGTTTGCTGGTCAGTGGGCAGGTTTCCGGCCTGCAGGCAACCATGCTCTGTCCACCCAAACCAGCCTGTGGATGGTTTTGGGTCGCGGCAGCATCCAATTAGTTACGGGCCTGTATATGTCTGGGTTTCAACCTAGAGGGAGTGAAGGTCCACCTTTGTCCTTTGGGCAAGGTGGCCAGCCCCTAGACCATCTTTCAAGGTCACTGGGTTCAAATGTCTTAAAATCTTCAAACAATTTCTTCTCAATAACCAAAAGGTCCAGGCTCATGATATTTGGCCAGTAGCATGCTGGGATAAAGGGCTACCAAGTTTGTTCAAATGAATGACCTTGACCCACTTTCAAGGTCACATGGGTCAAACGTCATAAAATCTTCAAACAACTTCTTCTCAATAAGCAAAAGGCCCTGGGTACTGAAATTGGGCCTCTTGTTTATCACACGCAACAATAAGGTTTGGGAAGGGACGAAGGAACATTTTCAGTTATGTTATTTTCATTACCAATATTAAACCTCTCTTCATATTAACAAATATTTACAACCTATATTGATCATTACCCGGATACTTTTTATACCCTGACCAAAATGTACACACACACACACACACACACTCAGATATTTTTATACCCTGACCAAAATGTACACACACACACACACACTCGGATATTTTTATACCCTTACCAAAATGTACCCCCCTATGAAAAACCTTATATTTCTATATTGTTAATTAAATTGAGTTCAGAATTTGAACAGGACATTAGAGGGGAATATTTATCCACCCCTACCCCACCAAATCCCCACCCCAGGGGCCAGGAAACTATGTCTAAATAATTGTCCAATTACTGGCAACAATAACGTTTGGGGAGGGATGTAGAAACATTTACAATTATGTTATACTCATTACCCAACCTATATTCATTACCCAGGAGTCACTCAACCTTGACTGAGGTACACTTCATTGACAAGGACACACAGATGTGTGAACTGATACAGATGACCTTCACCAAATGTTTGCTGGAAAGTATGGGTCAAGTAGCTATGGAACGGGCGCTGGAGGTAGAAACAATTTCTCATCGTCTCCGGGGAATACTACCCAGGTTTGATTGGTCAATTATGAAACTGCTATATCTTGTTGGCGCCTTTCTCCACAAAGTTTATCTTTGGATATAACACTAACATGCACAAGGCAAACATTTTTCTCATATATTGTTAGTAAGAAAAATATCAACTCCTGGTTTTCAACAATTTTCTTCTTCAGTTTTGCCAGTCCAGTACAAACCAAACTTGGAACAGAAAATATTCTCCAATGGGACCTTCTATTATGTCCGATTTCTGTCCTGTTGATAATTTTCAAAGACATTAAAAATCCAAAATGGCTGCCACAAGCTCTGATTGGATATGATAATGATTAGAGCCACAGAAATATATCAACATGAAGTTATTGAATCGAAAAGGTTAAAATATTGGCAACAAACGGTGAAAAACCCATCAAATTGTCTATGACTATTTCTAGTTATTGCTTTTTAGGTCACCTGAGACAAGTCTCAAGTGACCTATTGCGATCGCCTTTTGTCCGCCGGTGTCCGGCGTTCGTCGTTCGTCGTCCCTCGTGCGTCCGTAAATAATTTAAATAAATGGGATGGGCAAAAAAAAGGTTGAATTGACTGAAATTTCAAAATCTTCTTCTCAAGACCAGATATGGTAGAATCAAATTCTCTTCATAGATGGAAGGGTTTTTAGGTGCTCTACGAAACTTGTGAATTTTATGACCCTAGGGTCTCACGTTTATCCCTGGGGAAGGAGGGGGGGGGGGCAAAATTTGTTATGGTTTATAATGGCAAATGATACTTTGAATATTACATATTTGATTGGAATTATAACCCTAAGTTGACAGTTTGATACTTTGAAAATTTTGAGCCATCCCTACCCCCAAGGGCTGTATGGTGGGGCCCAATGGAGTCAGTGTGTTAAAATAAAATTTCTTCATTTTCCTTGTTTAGAATCAGAGGTGCTAGTTTCAAATACTTTTCAGTATTAAATCTGCATGCTAGATATTGAATAAGGTGGTTTTATTGTATTTTGTCACTTTGAATAATATTTCTATTCATGTTAAAAACAAAAATCAACTCTCTGTATAAATATATCAGGTGACCGCTAAGGCCCATGGGCCTCTTGTTTTCTTTGTAATTATTTAGCTCACCTGGTCTGAAGGACCATGGTGAGCTTATGCTGTACTGCAGCGTCCATCGGCTGTCTGTCCGTCAACTTTTCCTATAAAACGCTACCAGCCCTGAACAGCCCAGTAGATTTTATCCCAATTTGGTCTGGAGCATCCTTTGGCCAAGGGGACTCAATTTTGTATAAAAGGTGGGTGTGGCCTCCCTGTGAGCAGAGGAGCAGGGCTAAATCGGGGAAATAGAGGTAAAGCCTTAAACATCCTTCTTCTACTGTAGTGATAAAGGGATTTTATCCAAATTTAGTCAGGAACATCCTTATTATGGGCCAAGTGGACTTTTTTGTATAAACAGTGGGTGTGGCCTCCTTGGGTGCAGAGGGGTGGGGTTCAAAAGGGGAATTTGAGGTTTTAATCTTAAAAATCTTTAAAATATCCTTCTGTACCATTGGAGGGATTTTATCCCAATTTGGTCAGGAGCAATCTTTGGAAAAGGGGACTTAATTTTATTTTAACATTGGGTGTGGCCCCTTTAGGTGCAGAGGGGCGGCTCAAAAGGGGAATTTGACATTTAAATCTTTAAAATCCTTCTCCTTCTGTACCACTGGAGGGATATATATATTATATCCAAGAATAATTTCCCATGCATTGTTGCTTTATTATCCAGGTGAGCGATACACTGCCCTCTGGGCCTCTTGTTTTATTTATAAGGTTTCATAATATTTCTTTTGCAATAACTTTTAACAGATTTGTTTATATTATCTGGAATTTTTAGGGTTAAGATGCAACCATGTTTAAAATTTTCAACATTATATGATATGATTTATGTATTTTTTACATTTCAAATTTCATAATGCATTCATCATTACTTTATGCTCAACAATGGGAGATTTGGCCACTGACCACTTGCTCCCTGGACAAAAAGGAATGAGGGATATTTCCCTTATTGAAGGTTTCAGAGGTTGACATCTATGATGGAAGGAGTTCACGGACATCCTTGTATTATTTAAGGTTGCCTACAATACATACTTGTGTATGGTGTATGTGGATCTTAAAAAAATATATAATTCAAAAGAGCTCCAGAGTTTACAGATTTTTTTTTTTATTAATTAGTAGTTGGGAGTCGGTGGACAATACTGTATTTACTTTAGGTTATATTGTACATTTGTGATTTGTGTCAGTATCATATTCTGTACATATTGTATCTGTGATATGTTAGAGTTATCTCCCCGTACTTATTTTCTTATTTAGTTGTGCTTGTGTAATTGGTGTAAGAGTTAAAGTTACATGCTACCTAACACATTATAGCTGATGTCTTTGTAAGGATTTAGGTTACATGGTACAATACTTATTACACTTATGATTTGTTTTAAAGTTAAGGTTATGTGTCACATTAAGCATTATACCTATGAGTTTTGTTAAAGTCAAGGTCATTTGCTAACTTAGTTACACATTATACCTGTGATTTATGTCAGAGTTAAGGTCATACTCAGCTGTAAATGAGTACGTGGTTGGGCAGCGGTAGAATTGTTGAGTGCTAGCTGTTAGCGCCGAAATGGCAGCTCCGGCTGTATGCTCTCCAGGGAGTTGAGAAAGATATTGGCTGGTTGCAAAGGCCTTATAACCATGGATAATAATTTGTGAATCGCTTTGAGATTATCGACCTACAAACTAGGTTGTGATAAAGCGATATATAAGAACCTCAAATTATTATCATTATTATTATTATATGCTACCTTATACATTATACCTGTGATTTACATTAGAGTAAAGGTCATATGCTACCTTATACATTATACTTGTAATTTATGTTAAAGTGAAGGTCATATGCTACCTTATACATTATACCTGTGATTTATGTTAAAGTGAAGGTTATATGCTATCTCATACATTAGACTTGTGATTTATGTTAGAGTTAAGGTTATATGCTACCTTATACATTATACTTATGATTTATGTTAGAGTTAAGGTCATATGTTTCCTTATACATTATACCTGTGATTTATGTTAAAGTGAAGGTTATATGCTATCTCATACATTAGACTTGTGATTTATGTTAGAGTTAAGGTTATATGCTACCTTATACATTATACTTGTGATTTATGTTAGAGTTAAGGTTATATGCTAGCCTTACATATCCTGGCGATTTGCATTAGAGTTACCATCTTTACATGTCATAATAAAGGGTATATGCTTCCTTACACTTTTTACACCTGTGATTTGAGGTATAAATTTATGGTTCTGTTAAGGTCATGCCTGCTACATATAACTTAGTTTATTTTGAACGGAGGAATAACTGCCGCTTTATTCAGATCATAGTCCATAATGTAAATATATGTATTTTCATTATGATTATTTTTTAGTTGTGTCCAAATTTATGTATTATCTTTGTTACATTACAATGTATGTTGTTAAATCTTTATTCTGTCAAAAAATTAACATCATGTGACAAGATCAATAAATAATGTCAAAACCTCCTTCATCTGAGAAATCCCAGGGGTAATACTCTCTTGTGAGCTCTGCCCTCAGGAATATGTCATGACCGAGTCAAAGGCTCTGTGCATGTACAGCGTCCACCTTGTGAGCTATGCCCTCAGGAATATGTCATGACCGAGTCAGAGGCTCTGTACACGTACAGCGTCCACCTTGTGAGCTCTGCCCCCAGGAATATGTCATGATAGAATCAAAGGCTCTGTACACGTACAGCGTCCACCTTGTGAGCTCTGCCCCCAGGAATATGTCATGACAGAATCAAAGGCTCTGTGCACGTACAGCGTCCACCTTGTGAGCTCTGCCCCCCTGGAATATGTCATGACAGAATCAAAGGCTCTGTACAGGTACAGCGTCCACCATGTAGACTAGTTTAATCCTTTGATGCATGTTAAAAGAATCGCTTGGAAGTGTAACAGTAAATTGAATGGCTTTGAAGTTACATGGTTGTTGCTCCTCTTTAACCTTCCAGAGTGACAGGTATCAGCATAGCAATTGGTCAGGTGTTTTTTTTATCTGAAACCACCCAATAGCTAACCAATTGTTTTCAATATATTCCAGAGGTCAGAGAAGGAAAGTGAGCATAATCCATGTGATTTCAAGAATAAACCTCTTTATATTAAAACTTTCATGTTAAAATATCTTTATGTTAAAGCCTTTTGATGTTATGTTAAAGCCTCTGTCCTCTTGTTGGATATTTAAAGGGCGTAGATGTATGTATGTACTTACTTTCGCTCTCTGCACCCCTGTAATATGTCATAGCAAAATCGAAGGCTCAGTGTGCACCATCTTGTGGATGAGACAAGAATACTAGTTTGATCCTTTGAAGTACATCAAAATTATCTCTCGGTCGTGCAACTGTAAAATTGACTGGCTTTGAAGTCGGTTGTCACTCCTCTGTAATCTTCAAAGGACAGGTATCAGCCTAGTGATTGGTCAGGTGTTTTTTTAACTTGACCTATCAAATAGCTAGCGGCGTGCCTTCAATTTTGCAATGACATATTCCAGGGGTGCAGGGAACGAAAGTGAGTTTAAGCCCGGAGTATCGAGGATGGAATCGTGTATGGTTATGAAAAAAGTAGGTAAGATGTTTCTTATGGAATGTCTGTTGTGTCGAACTTTAAAATTATGATATCAAAATAATGATGACATAAAACATGTGGGCCATGGCATTTACAGTCTTTCTGAAATGTCATATGAATTAAGTAGGGTTCGTTGATGGTATTGCCATACAGTGGTAAATGTAGTTAATAATTTCCATGTTTTACTTGTGGGCCTTCATTATATATAAGTCAATGTAGTTAAGAAACGCCAACAAGTTTTATTTCATTGTCCTGTGCTTACTGATAGCTTGAAGAATATCTTCAGATGTTGAACTTAAAAATTTATAAATTGAAGTAGTAATTTGTAATTCCTTATTGATTTAACTTACCGGTATACAATTTGAATATTTGAACTTGATTTGCCATAAATTAATATGACCCATTGTGAACATTGCATTGGGACTTGTAAAAGTCTAAAAGTGTTTTCTATAATTTTCCTATTGCAATAAGTCACGGGTTTCACAATAATATTTTTTCTCCCACAACAACTATAGGTTTCCTCACTCCCAACTCATTGGATAAACTTGCTAGGGGTTGGTAAACATTTTTGGTTACCCCTGGATGTTATTAGTCCCCCACTGGTTCCGGGGGGGACTATAGGTTTGTACTCTGTCCGTCCTTCCATTCGTCCAAGAAGTTTGTCCGGGGCATATCATCTATATTATTTCATCTGGAGTGACCAGATTTGGTGTACAAGGACATCTACTGATGGCGGAACGCAGAGTGCAAGATTTAGGTCACTGTGACCTATGACTTGACCTTTGACCTTTTTTTTTTGAAAATGTTTGTCCAGGGCACACCTCCAAACTATTTCACCTGGAGTAACCAGATTTAGTGTACAATGACATCTTGGAATGGCGGAGTGCAGAGTGCAAGAGTTAGGTCACTGTGACCTATGACTTCAATTTTGACATTTACTTTTTTATCCAGATTTGGTGTACAAGGAAGTCTTTGGATGGCAGAGTGCAAGAATTAGGTCACTGTGACATATGACTTGACCTTTGATCTTTAATTTTTTTAAAGTTTGTCCGTGGTATATCTTTGATACTATTTCACCTGGAGTAACCAGATTTGGTGTACCAGGACATCATAGGATGAACTATGATCTCACTTTGACCTACACTTCCTGACATAAATGTGATCTTTGTTAAAATACATAAATCATCACCGGTGGAGGACTATGGATTGCCTTGCAATACTTTGCCTTGTTTCAATGGTCATGCAATATTCTAATTATGACTTCAAGTAGCAATGCTTTGTTGTGTCATCTTCCATTGTGACATCATAGTTCATGGCAATTGTTTCCTAGATTGAAAACAGGAATGATGTATGCCAAAGAGAAACATGGTTTTCTAGACATAATATCTGAACGTTGTGGGAGAAAAAAGGTGCTAAACTTGTGATGGTAGGTTATCATGTTTATATCTAACTCTCATTAGTTCATTTTCAAACTGTAAAAGACACTCTGTAAACCTTGTGTCTGTATACATTTTGAAAATTCAAGTTATATAAACATGATTACCGATCATCACTTTCTAGGGAACCTCTATACATCTATAGATAATTTCATATATAATATGAAAGTGTGATTGTTTTGTTTGTCTCAAATCTGATAAAATGCATTATTATGCTATAATAAACTGTTCTTTAACCAAAGAAATTATTGTTCATTAAAAATAGAATTACAAAAGAAGGTTGTATATTAATATAAATAAACTATTGATGATGAAATCAATTAAGTGTCTTATTTGTCCTGTTCATGTATCAGCATATTTGGTACAAATTCGTTGCAGATTTAATAGCAATCCTCTGAATCCTCTATGGGCGGATTGGTCGATAGGTTAACACTCCAGCCTTCCAAGCAGGCGTCCGGGTTCGATCCCCGAAGTCGTACGCATGGATATTCAGAGAAAGTGTTTTTCTCCTGTCGACACTACTCCATCAACCCAGGTGGAGTATACAATGATCTGGGGTGGATGTTGCGGTATCTGTGCTGTAGCATTCAAGTGAGGTGGCACTATAAGTGATGCCATTGGAAGCAGTCCTACTACAAACAGAACACTATACATCTCCAGCACACACGCAGGCATTAACACACATAGGGAGATATTAGCCAGGTGACATAGGACTATAGCGCCTGATAAGGCAGCTCCTGCGAATTCCTCAACACTGTATTGATTAATGTATATGCTAATTGTATTAATTGTATATCTATGTACTGTAAAGGGCTTTAGAGTGGCTTCTGTTAGCTAGATAGGGCGCTATATCAAATGCTGTATATTATTAGTATTATTATTTATCATTAAGAACTGTAACTCCCTATCTGTTCTATCTGACCAATGACTCGCTTGGGTGAAGGGATACTATTTTGTTCGTGATCCATAATTTAATGTCATGGGTCAAAATTTTGAAAGAAATCAGAAGGATTTCTTGGAAAGTGCAATGCCTAGTCATAATATTTGGCCTGCTGCTCCAGTGACGTAGCATACATGACGTATGCTTGTATGCTTAAGCCTACACTAAAAATATTAAGAAGATTTTTTTCAATCATATCTTGGAAAAAATTATTTGCTACGCCACTGTGCTTGTAAGATTGAATGGTTTATAATCTCCAAATAAACTACTTCCACCTTCATTCAAGTTTAAAATTTTATTTGACCTTGGTAAAGAACCTCTGTGAACAATGCTTAGTCATGTTATTTTGCCAGAAACTTGCTGGGATGAAAGGCTATTAAGAATGTTCACATTAAATTACTGGGAGGTTCAAACGTGTGAAATCTTTAATGAATCTGGCAAGTGAACCCTATAGTAAGGATAATTTCTTGTAGCTTTCTTGGAATGAGTTATTATCATGAAGTTTGTTTAGATAAATGACCATCTCCACCTATTTTAAGGATCACTCGAGTTGAAGAATATGTTAAAATATTCAAATGACTTTTAAATGTAGCGTGTTGCTTTGAGTAATATGATCTGACCTGTAGCTTTTTATGTAAAATGTTATGTTGTTGTACCCTCACTTCTGTGAAATGGAGGGGAGTTTCTTTTGTGCTTTATTTGTCCCTAATGGCTTCCAAAGTGCTCCTCCTATACATAATCAAACTGAGTAGGTCAGAACATGGACCTGAAGGAACATTTAGTGTCACCATTAAAAATAAGGTTACTGTGACCCTTAAATTGACCTCTGACCCCTGTAAAGGGAAAACTGTTTTAACAGCATTTCTCCCATACTATTTCCTAAACAATCATCAGACATGGTATCAATGTAGGAACAGCACAGTCCTGTATTTTGACCTCTGACTTATCAAGAGTTGCAGCAGTCATCTTAGCCAAAGGGCAAACAAATCTATGTAATTTTCCCTTCTAGTCCGGAACAACTAGACAGGATTAATATTAGAGACGGCATTGCGATCATTCCTGGATATCAAAGACAGCACTAAACATTTTATTTGGAACACCATTTTGGGATGGACATGATTTGTTTGTACTCGGTGGTATTAACTTACAATCCCTGTCCCACTGCAGGCAAAACATGAGAAAATTCCAAAGTAATTGTTTTCCAAGCATGGAGTAACCTCCCCTTAATCTTGTTTGGGATATACATGTCACCGTAGTGGGACCTGGCCGGGAACCTACAACTGATTACATACCCAAGTTTGGTACAGCATCTATATTGTGATTGAAGGTCCAGGGTTTGAATACCAGCCCAGCCCTATTGCATTTTTACACTCCGAACACTGTTGTTGATCTTTCATGAATATTTTTCCAATTCCATCTTTTATAATTTTTGAACACTTTTTTTAAGTTCTTGAAGACACGGGTTACTTTTAAGAAATGATTTATTAAAGCTGTGGTTATGGCAGTAAAAAAAAAAAAAAATCAAAGTATTTACAGTTTTGGTTGTGGTATGGTGATCCACAACTGATACTTTTCTTAATGGGTTTACTGCTGGCCTATATTACAGCATTATACACTGGTAATTCCACTGAGCAAGGACACTCTTTTCATGTTACTGATAGATTTCAAAATGATAAACAAAGCATATATTACAATTATTTCGATTTTATTGCTCAATTCCCTCAGAATTTGCATATAACAATGTATACAAGCATTTTATAATACCAAACAATATCACTGGGTAAATTGTATACAGTATATACCTATTATAAACATGCATACTGATTTACAGTGTGTTAGTGTGTCACTGTACAGAAGATTACCTTCAAAGTCATATTCACAAGACTAAACTGCTATACAGTAGTACTCCAGGACACATACTGCAGTTAAGTATAATTCAAACATTTGACAGACATTAAAAAGCTATATTTTCTTGTACATAATCTTCACAGTGAAAAATTTCAACCTCGCGAAACATATAAAGTAACACAATACCAAAATATTCTCTGAAGAGACGACCATTGAGGTTGTGATGCGATATAAAGCATGTCGAGCGTGACAATAAGGACGGACAAGACAAAACAAAGGCATACACGTTTGGTACGACGGCTTCTATGTCATCACATGAGCAATGAAACTTTCAGTAAGGTATTGCGTAACAATCGGAATGATTATTGATTTATATATGTGTCTCGGCAGCTACACTGGTAATTACAAAGTGGAAGAAAACATGCTTTTTGCCTATAAAACACATTAACAAACCTACATCTAGCATGAACCTAACCACACGCTGCAATGAAACATTACATTTAGTACCTGTTTGAACCAATATCCAACCCTCGGTGTATTTACTATATAATCTACTGCTAATTTAACATGTTCACACACTGGTTATAATAACTTATTTTAAATAGCCTACTAGTACACAAAATCTATATCTTTTTAATCAGGATTTTAAAATAAAAGACCTTTCCGCAATATTCAAAATGTTTTCCTTTCCGAAATTATCTTCAATTTTATTTTTCACACGGAAAGCTGTGTACCGTCAACAATTTCTCACTGACATCAGAACTACAAGGATCATCTATAACTACAGCACATTGTCTAGTAAGATCTCTTCAAGAAATCAATCAATCAAAAGTTTAAAGAAAATTCTAAGGAAAACAATACATTGTCAAATAAATGTATATCAACATAAGCTTCAATTTTGAATTTCATTCCTCCAAAATAATTGTCCTTTGCAGTTATCTTCTCCATTTTTATATCAAGAAAACAAAAAGATAGTGATACATGCTTTAATGTTTAAATATATATACTTTCCTCAACTGTTACATGCAAGATACTGTGTAAACATACACATTATATAAAAACAATTTAACTGTACAAATTTTGAATTAGTAAATAACAAATTGATCTTTGTGAAAAACAATATGCATACATTAGTGCGAGATATATGTATTCACAATCAACTACATGTATTCGTAATCAGGGATAATCCTGGATGCGGCCATTGACACCTCAAAACTGAAATTGACTCCTCCATGTCTCAATTTTCTTTCAATTTTACATAAAATGGCCCTTCTTAAATTTGATATTTACTAAAAATTGCTGAAAATGGCTCATTGCTCTCAAATTCCAGGATTTTCCCTGATAATACCCTAAAATCTGAAAAATACGCCACGGCTTATTTTCGTTTTTAATACGGAATCCCTAGCTTATGTCTTTGTTTTTTTGTATTTTTTATTAAAACTGAAATTACATATCTTTATACTACATGTATAATGCATTTTTACAAAAGAACAACTTTTTTGATGAAAGTGGAATTCATGGAATTTTATGTCTGAAAGTTTTCCCCATGGAGATGGAGAATTGTATGCCTTGGATATCGGACATGTTTGTGAGTAGCACTACAGGACGGTTTGTACATAAAACATGGGACGGCCGTCAGCTGTCCTGGTTGTTGGTGTCAGTGAGGTAGCACACACACATCTGGTCTTTACTTAACAGCAGTATTGTGTTACTTTCGGGGTGCCACTTCAAGGATTGGACGGGAAACGAACCTGTAAAACATTACAGAAAACATCTATTCAGTGTTGGACCATTCAGATAACAATCATGTTTCAACATTCATAATCCTTATTTCTCTTTTCATAATATTGAAGACACATTTTACAAGACCTGGTTAGTTGGCATTTGCTGGTTCAATTGTAAATCAATTTTTGAGGTCTTTGACTGTTTTTGTTTTGTTCTTCCTTTTCAGGATTTAATGTGCTCGCAACAGCTACAGTCATACAAAAATAAGGAGAAGGTTAGAAAGAACAGAAAATATACAAGTTCCAAGTGATGCAACGGGGCGACAAATCAGATTTGGTTTCTTCAATACACTTAGAGTTACTTATAAATAGTTTCAAGTGCTGGACCTCTATAGGTCTTCTCAATTCGACTCGATCGTTGTATCGCATCGAACTTGAAGTTCGCTTTCAATCGGTGCTCTGAAGTTATATAATATTTCCAATATCCCCTAAGAAGAAGATAGAAGACCCCTCCCCTCCTACCCCGAGTCTTCTGAAACCCCATTTTATTTGATTTTTACAAAGCACACTGTGAGCGGGAGGGGTAGGGGGGAACATGGCATTCTATTTTCCTTCATCCACAGGGGCTAACAATAATTGAGGTCTTACACTATATGTTTGCAGTTACATTGTATTATGATAAGTTACTTACCTTCGACAGGCACCTCCACAGAGAGGCTGCCTGCGGGTGACCACATGTACAGTTTGTTGGAACCAGTACACACAGCCAGGCGGGCCTGATGGGGGTCCCAACACACACCTAAAAGTACATAAAACTGCAATATCATATATGAACTTCCAATTCAAACCTGTTCATATTACCAATCCCATTAGAAGACCACCAGAGTTAAAGGGACCACTTTTAATGTTCACCAATGGATATCATTTTGAAACAGAACTGTATTTAGAGGTTGCTTGCATAAGAGACTACTTTCCTACTTTCCTGGGGGAGGGGAGGCTCTTAGTACAGGTTTAACTGACCCTCGAATCCTTCATATACCCATCACATGTCTCCTCAAAATACACAGCATATCTTCACAGTATACTGTTTGATCATCAAGACAAATAAGACATGGATGTCACATGTACACTGGATGGAAGAGGCCTGGATGGGAAGAGTACAGAGGGAAGTCTTAAACACAAAGAACCTGGGAATGTTTACCTAGGCCCATTTCGCGTATTTGGTTCAACTGTTTTTCGATGTAACATCTTCGGATATAAATCCTGGCGGACCTGCAAATGCTTATGCAGGCCTTGCAAGGCTTTGTCAAGGCTCGCCTGAAAGCAGCATCAGATTACTAGGTCTGACCTTATTTCATTAAGGAACAACAGTTCAACCGTTTGGATCGCTATTAACGAATGAAGTGTCTTGACGTCCCAAACTTACACTGAATTGTGGAGGTCTGGATGAAGACAGTACACAAGGAAGGTCTCTGGACATCCCAAACTGACAGGATTTGGGACCTGTGTACTTACCCTTGCTTGGGGAGGTCTGGATGAGGACAGTACACAAGGAAGGTCTCTGGACGTCCCGAACTGACAGGATGTGGGACCTGTGTACTTTAAATCCTGGCGGACCTGCAAATGCTTATGCAGGCCTTGCAAGGCTTTGTCAAGGCTCGCCTGAAAGCAGCATCAGATTACTAGGTCTGACCTTATTTCATTAAGGAACAACAGTTCAACCGTTTGGGTCGCTATTAACGAATGAAGTGTCTTGACGTCCCAAACTTACACTGAATTGTGGAGGTCTGGATGAAGACAATACACAAGGAAGGTCTCTGGACATCCCAATCTGACAGGATGTGGGACCTGTGTACTTACACTTGATTTTGGAGGTCTGGATGAAGACAGTACACAAGGAAGGTGTCTGGACATCCCAAACTGGCAGGATGTGGGACCTGTGTATTTACACTTGATTGGGGAGGTCTGGATGAGGACCGTACACAAGGAAGGTCTCTGGACGTCCCAAGCTGACAGGATGTGGGACCTGTGTACTTACACTTGATTGTGGAGGGCTGGATGAGGACAGTACACAAGGAAGGTCTCTGGACGTGTGGAGGTCTGGATGAAGACAGTACACAAGGAAGGTGTCTGGACATCCCAAACTGGCAGGATGTGGGACCTGTGTATTTACACTTGATTGGGGAGGTCTGGATGAGGACCGTACACAAGGAAGGTCTCTGGACGTCCCAAGCTGACAGGATGTGGGACCTGTGTACTTACACTTGATTTTGGAGGACTGGATGAGGACAGTAAACCAGGAAGGTGTCTGGACATCCCAAACTGACAGGATGTGTGACCTGTGTACTTACACTTGATTGGGGAGGACTGGATGAGGACAGTACACAAGGAAGGTGTCTGGACATCCCAAACTGACAGGATGTGGGACCTGTTTATTTACACTTGATTGGGGAGGTCTGGATGAGGACCGTACACAAGGAAGGTCTCTGGACGTCCCAAACTGGCAGGATGTGGGACCTGTGTACTTACACTTGATTTTGGAGGACTGGATGAGGACAGTAAACCAGGAAGGTGTCTGGACATCCCAAACTGACAGGATGTGTGACCTGTGTACTTACACTTGATTGGGGAGGGCTGGATCAGGGACAGTACACAAGGAAGGTATCTGGACGTCCCAAACTCATAGGATGTAGGACGTGCTTACTTACACTTGATTGGGGAGGTCTGGATTAGGACAGTACACAAGGAAGGTCTCTGGACGTGTGGAGGTCTGGATGAAGACAGTACACAAGGAAGGTCTCTGGACGTCCCAAGCTGACAGGATGTGGGACCTGTGTACTTACACTTAATTGGGGAGGTCTGGATGAGGACAGTACACAAGGAAGGTCTCTGGACAACCCAAACTGACAGGATGTGGGACCTGTGTTCTTACACTTGATTGGGGAGGTCTGGATGAGGACCGGACACAAGGAAAGTCTCTGGACATCCCAAACTGACAGGATGTGGGGCCTGTGTTCTTACACTTGATTGGGGAGGTCTGGATGAAGACAGTACACAAGGAAGGTCTCTGGCCATCCCAAACTGACAGGATGTGGGCCCTGTGTACTTATACACTTGATTTTGGAGGGCTGGATGAGGACAGTACACAAGGAAGGTCTCTGGACGTGTGGAGGTCTGGATGAAGACAGTACACAAGGAAGGTGTCTGGACATCCCAAACTGACAGGATGTGGGACCTGAGTACTTACACTTGATTGGGGAGGTCTGGATCAGGGCCAGTACACAAGGAAGGTGTCTGGACGTCCCAAACTGACAGGATGTGGGTCCTGTGTACTTACACTTGATTGTGGAGGTCTGGATCAGGACAGTACACAAGGAAAGTGTCTGGACGTCCCAAACTGACAGGATTTGGAACCTGTGTACTTCCCCTTCATTGTGGAGGTCTGGATGAGGACAGTACACAAGGAAAGTCTCTAGACATCCCATATCCACAGGGTGTGTGGCATATTATCTGTTGAAAACAAATCATAGACAGATGAGGACAGTACACAAGGAAAGTGTCTGGACATCCCAAACTGACAGGATGTGCGACCTGTGTACTTACACTTGATTGGGGAGGCCTGGATGAGGACAGTACACAAGGAAGGTCTCTGGACGTCCCGAACTGACAGGATGTGGGACCTGTGTACTTTAAATCCTGGCGGACCTGCAAATGCTTATGCAGGCCTTGCAAGGCTTTGTCAAGGCTCGCCTGAAAGCAGCATCAGATTACTAGGTCTGACCTTATTTCATTAAGGAACAACAGTTCAACCGTTTGGATCGCTATTAACGAATGAAGTGTCTTCACGTCCCAAACTTACACTGAATTGTGGAGGTCTGGATGAAGACAGTACACAAGGAAGGTCTCTGGCCATCCCAAACTGACAGGATGTGGGCCCTGTGTACTTATACACTTGATTTTGGAGGGCTGGATGAGGACAGTACACAAGGAAAGTGTCTGGACGTCCCAAACTGACAGGATGTCTTATGCAGGCCTTGCAAGGCTTTGTCAAGGCTCGCCTGAAAGCAGCATCAGATTACTAGGTCTGACCTTATTTCATTAAGGAACAACAGTTCAACCGTTTGGATCGCTATTAACGAATGAAGTGTCTTGACGTCCCAAACTTACACTGAATTGTGGAGGTCTGGATGAAGACAATACACAAGGAAGGTCTCTGGACATCCCAATCTGACAGGATGTGGGACCTGTGTACTTACACTTAATTGGGGAGGTCTGGATGAGGACAGTACACAAGGAAAGTCTCTGGACATCCCATATCCACAGGGTGTGTGGCATATTATCTGTTGAAAACAAATCATAGACATTATCTTAAATATTTCAAGGAATAATTATTAAGTGCCTATACTGTCTTACATTAGATGTAGTTTGTAAATGCTTGTTTGTTTGTTTGTTTGTTTGATTTTGTTTAACGTCCTATTAACAGCTAAGGTCATTTAAGGACGGCCTCCCCTGTGTGCAAGATGCATGCGTGTAGTGTATGTGTGTGTATTTTGGGAGGCTGCGATATGTTCGTGTTTGTCTCCTTGTGATAGCGCGGAACTGATGCCGACTTTATAGTGCTACCTCACTGAAACATACTGCCGAAGACACCCAGCAGGACGCCCCACCCGGTCACATTATACTGACAACGGGCAAACCAGTCGTCCCACTCCTAATTTGCTGAGCGTTAAGCAGGAGTAGAAACTACCATTTTTAAAGACTTCGGTATGTCTCGGCCAGGGGACAGAACCCAAAGCCTTCCTCACAGGGGCGAACGCTCAACAAATGCATTATTGCAAAAGATGGTACCAGAAGCTAGAAATGTGTCTGGAAGATATGGATGCCCAGTTCCCAAACTTAAGGACTAATCAGAGGTCAAAGTTACAAAAAGCCATGCAACATGCTGTATTCATTGAGGAGCAATTAGCAGGTGAAGTTGCTTGTCCCTAGACCTTGACCCTTGACCCTGCAGTACTTAGTCCATAACTGACCTTAAATCAAAAAACTTTAGCGACGTCACAAAATTTTGTGTTGTATGTTTTGCTTATATAGGTGCATACCCGGTAAGCATGTAAAGTGTGTGTGGCTCTAGCTACTTACTGTATTGTAACTGATCTAAATACAAAATCTTTACCAACAGGACGTACATACAAAGGAAACACTATATGCCCTGCACCACTTTGTGTCAGTGCACAAAGTTTGTATTATTGTTATATTTCTGCAAGTCATTTCATTTAAATGAACACATTTGAGGTAATAAACTCATGTTTAAGCACTCACAAATCCACCATCGATATATCAAGAATTTAATGATCTACGACTTGTCATCTGCACATTTTTATGAGAAGAGTTACTGTTCTTGGTGTATAAGTCACTTGAGGGAGTAAAAAGTAAAGTTACCATTCTTAGTGTACATGTATCGACAGTCACAACTGAAGGCTGCACTGCCCACACCGAGTCTTGGGTTGGCTTTACTGGTATCCGGCTTTACCACAGGAATCCTCACTGGGAACTCTCCTACCTCATCTGTTACAAAACATCGGTAAGACATCATACATGTACTTTTATCCAGCTGTTCACAACGTTTGACACAAAGTTAAATAGGCTATCATTTCACTTTTTAGTATTGGGCTTTTTACCAGAGAGTCGTCTCCCTTAGACTGTTGGCAATGACTGTGATGGCCAGACAGAGACTATTCCAAGTCTAAAAGGATTCACTCATTGTTATTGACATATTTGAGGAAGATTTTAGCACAATTACATTATTATGGAAACAAAACAAATTTTCATAAATACATGATGCTGATACTGTTACTAAGGGTGGTGATCTAAAACCTCAAATAAATTTCAGGAATGATATTATCAAATTATCTATTTCTTTCTCTTTTTTTTTTTTGTATTACATTTTATTCTATTTTATATTTATTTGAAAATTTTGATCTCTAATATTTGAAATCAGACCATAAATTTTGATTTGACTCCAGCCTTGGACTGTGAACTTTAGATGAAAAAATAACAAAATAATGTACATTTGACATGGTTTCTGTGAAATATATTTGAAAAGGCCAGATAATGATTGTTTTGTCATGAATGCAAGGCAGTTTAATACACATGTCCAGTAAAAAAATATTTGCTCTCTTTCTTTATAATGTCGGTAACTATTTTTCTAAAATGTCGTAGCTATAATACCAACAAATAATATCAACAAAACAGAACTATGGGAACCGATGATAAATATATTATCCTCCAAAGATTGTTTTTTCAACTTATTCACCCCTGAAGACACGATTTAACTCTTCCAATTCAAAGGTTGGAATAGTTCATTATAAAATTTCAGGGGTGAATGAGTTCAATACTTATTTCTATCAGATAACTCAGGTTGAAGGATGTTGTTGATGGCTTTCTGGTAATGCAGAAAAAAACTTGAAGACTTTGACATAGATTACATGTTGTTTTCCGGGTTTGCTTGCATTTAGAATGAATATCTGTATATGTAAGGGCACATTAACAGTGAAAGGCAGTCCATTAAAACTTACACTTGCTCTGGGCGGTGAAGAGTGCTGCTGTCGGAGCGTCCATGGTTTCTGTGGCAGGTAGAGGCACTCTCGTCTCCATTTCCTTGTACACAATCTGATTAAACACAAAATATTACAGTGTTGAATAACACAGAAAGAGACTCTCCAAGTCTAAAACAAAGGGGATCACCAAAAAAATAGAACTTTCTTTACTTATCATGAGCATTATGGTGCCAGGCAACTCTCCCTTTTTAAGAGGGAGACTCCCAATTTTGGACCCTTTATTTTGATACATGTATTTCCAACAAGTGAATTTGTTGAACAATTCCTATATTTTAAGATCTAATGAAACAACTCAAAATATGTCATCTTACAGTGTCATTTTACCCTAAGGGTATATACAAACATTTTATCTATGTTTTTAATTTTGAGCACAGGGAATCTCCCCCATGGAATATTTAATTTTGAGCACAGGATATCTCCCCCATGGAATATTTAATTTTGAGCACAGGGAATCTCCCCCATAGAATATTTAATTTTGAGCACAGGGAATCTCCCCCATAGAATATTTTATTTTGAGCACAGGGAATCTCCCCCATGGAATATTTTATTTTGAGCACAGGGAATCTCCCCCATGGAATATTTAATTTTGAGGACAAGGAATCTCCCCCATGGAAATTTCAAAACGTTGGCAAGTATGTTTGTTTGTGTTTTATGTCCTAGTTACAGCTATGGTCATTTAAAGTGCTAGGTTTTGGTGGTGGAAGAAAGCCGGAGTTCCCGGAGAAAAACCATCAACCTTCCCCACGTAGGTCTCAAACCCGCGACCCAGTGGTGGAGGGCTAGTGGTAGCAGAATGTCGGACGCCTTGACCACTTGGCCATCACGGCCCTGCGATAAATACGTTAGATAAATACCATATGAGAAAAGCTGCACATGCAATCAAATAACCATCAACTGAGAAACATCAATATAAAAGGAACATAAATTTTCAAAGTGTAAATACAAAAAGTAAATAGGTGGCACTCCGGAATATATAACTTCCTTAAAAACTTCATCAGTCTCTCATTCTTTGGGAATGTTTTAAAGTTCATGATTTCTTTGATGCTGGTAACTTGACCAGTAACAAATAAGTGAAATATTATCTTAAATGGGAAGGAATCCATCTCCATTCATTTCGACTGATATGTTAAATTCAAATCAAACAGAATTGGTTTCCTGTAGCCCTACAAAGTGGATGAAGTTTGGTAGTTAATATCTTTCCACATTTTCTGTTTTTTCTTACTCTTTGGTTCTTCTTACCGGTAATTCGCGCCTGCAGGTCAGGGTTTGAGAAAAAGTTATGCAATGCCTGTTGTAAGAGGCAACTAATGTGAGAACTCCTTGTGTTGTAAGAGGCAACTAATGTGAGACCTTCTTGTGTTGTAAGAGACAACTAATGTGAGACCTCCTTGTGTTGTAAGAGACAACTAATGTGAGACCTGGTGTTGTAAGAGACAACTAATGTGAGACCTTGTGTTGTAAGAGGCAACTAATGTGAGACCTCCTTGTGTTGTAAGAGACAACTAATGTGAGAACTCCTTGTGTTGTAAGAGACAACTAATGTGAGACCTCCTTGTGTTGTAAGAGACAACTAATGTAAGACCTCCTTGTGTTGTTAGAGACAACTAATGTGAGACCTCCTTGTGTTGTAAGAGGCAACTAATGTGAGACCTCCTTGTGTTGTAAGAGACAACTAATGTGAGACCTCCTTGTGTTGTAAGAGACAACTAATGTGAGACCTCCTTGTGTTGTAAGAGACAACTAATGTGAGACCTCCTTGTGTTGTAAGAGACAACTAATGTGAGACCTCCTTGTGTTGTAAGAGACAACTAATGTGAGACCTCCTTGTGTTGTAAGAGACAACTAATGTGAGACCTCCTTGTGTTGTAAGAGACAACTAATGTGAGACCTCCTTGTGTTGTAAGAGACAACTAATGTGAGACCTCCTTGTGTTGTAAGAGACAACTAATGTGAGACCTCCTTGTGTTGTAAGAGACAACTAATGTGAGACCTCCTTGTGTTGTAAGAGACAACTAATGTGAGACCTCCTTGTGTTGTAAGAGACAACTAATGTGAGACCTCCTTGTGTTGTAAGAGACAACTAATGTGAGACCTCCTTGTGTTGTAAGAGACAACTAATGTGAGACCTCCTTGTGTTGTAAGAGACAACTAATGTGAGACCTCCTTGTGTTGTAAGAGACAACTAATGTGAGACCTCCTTGTGTTGTAAGAGACAACTAATGTGAGACCTCCTTGTGTTGTAAGAGACAACTAATGTGAGACCTCCTTGTGTTGTAAGAGACAACTAATGTGAGACCTCCTTGTGTTGTAAGAGACAACTAATGTGAGACCTCCTTGTGTTGTAAGAGACAACTAATGTGAGACCTCCTTGTGTTGTAAGAGACAACTAATGTGAGACCTCCTTGTGTTGTAAGAGACAACTAATGTGAGACCTCCTTGTGTTGTAAGAGACAACTAATGTGAGACCTCCTTGTGTTGTAAGAGACAACTAATGTGAGACCTCCTTGTGTTGTAAGAGACAACTAATGTGAGACCTCCTTGTGTTGTAAGAGACAACTAATGTGAGACCTCCTTGTGTTGTAAGAGACAACTAATGTGAGACCTCCTTGTGTTGTAAGAGACAACTAATGTGAGACCTCCTTGTGTTGTAAGAGACAACTAATGTGAGACCTCCTTGTGTTGTAAGAGACAACTAATGTGAGAACTCCTTGTGTTGTAAGAGACAACTAATGTGAGAACTCCTTCCAGAATTGGGTTTTTCCATGCCTTCTACATGGGGACACAAAAGAAAACAAAATAAATCTGCTGCAGCCATTGCTGGATTTGGCATTTTTTTGTTCCCTCTTTTTTTCTGACTACGGTACTTCTTTACTTAATGCGTAACTTGGCAATAGGTTTTCAGCCTTGGTGTCAAGCATTCTCCAGGGCGAGGAAAGTTATGGGTCCTGTCCCCAGACCAAGACAAACCAAAGTCATTGAAATTGGTAATTACTGCCCTTTGCTTAAATTCTGGTTTAACTTGGTGTCAGTAAGTCCTTATTAGTGTAATGTCACTTGGTGGAGTGTTATACTTATGTAACAGAGGCAATTAATTTTGCAATGCCTCTGCTAGTCGAACCCAGGACCTCTGATCTACTACCTAGTCTTACACTCTACCAAATGAACTAAAGAGAAATTCTCCTAGCCAAGTTTAAAGGAAGCGGCTAGTATTATATCCAGTACATTATACACTGATGTGTCTGGTGTATGACATTTCAGTGGGATTGTACTTTAAAATGACCCTTGAGTCACCAATCATTTGTGGACACAGTCTTGATTTGATCTCGGCTTCTATGATGACGTTAAAAACCAAATCTAAGCAAGCCAAACTTTTCTACCCATTACTACTGTTATGTCCTGTCAAAGGAGACAGGTTTTACCCTGCAGCATTAAATATTATCTAAAGTTTGGGGGGACAAAATGGGTAATGGAAAAATATCATGATTGTCAGATCAATGTCGGGAGATTTCAATGTCAAAACGGGAGAAACAGGTGGCTGTTTTGATGCTCGAAACCCGATACTGTAAATATGGAATATTACGTGGGGGGGGAATTTACGCTTATAATGCGAAGTTGGGTCGTCCGCGTAAATTTCCCTCGCGCGTATGGTTTCGTCGATAGTGTAAGGAACGACAACTCTGATAGATATTGGTACGTGTGTGTGATGTCCTCCTGTAATATTGCTTTGTTACAGTATTACTAATTAGCGTACATTGTATTGTATTGGTATAAAATACCGTAAAAACCCATGTAATTTGCGCACTTTTTTTTCAGAAATTTAATACCCAAAGTGGGGGGTGCGTAAAATACACAGGTATAGAAAAATTCAAGTTTTTTTTAAGGAAAAGATCGACGATTCTGAGAGATCGCCATCTTGGATTATGTCCCTTGGTACACGGAACTCTAAGACAAATGACGATCAACAAATTTATTTATGTCGAACATTAATAAAAGATACATAATGTGTTGTTATGTGAGTTTATGTGAAAAGTATTAATAAATAGGTAACCGTTAACAAAAAAAGTTTAGCCAAATTCCTATGCCAGAGAATCGCCGATCAACTTACGACATTACGTTTCGAACTCTCGGTGCGTTTCCCCATACTATTACGAAAATGTAGTTGTTCAATTTAAGCTCCGTTCTATGTAAGTTCTGTAAGTTTTTTCAAATCGCCTATGCGTATACGTATAGCATGGTTTTTTTCCGGCTCACTTTCATGTTGATCTCGCGTCTAACATTACGTAAACACGTGATTGATAATAACCTCGTGAATTATTTCAATATTTATTAAATGAAGCATCGTAAAAATAGTCTGCGTTAACTATTTTTTTCCTTGGAGTAGATTTGAAGAGGATGTATTGATTGTCCACGCTTCTAGTATAAACATATTTTTTATAATCCCTTATCAGTCAAATCAGTCTGTAGTTATGACAATGCAGTAGGGCTTCGTAATTCACGCCACGTGTTGGCGAGTGAAAAAAACAACAACACGGTCCGTCGATCGCGACTGCAAATCATTTCAATTAGTAGAGCTATTGTTAACGGGTAATCACAGAGATAGTGTTAGCTCATTACTGCATTGTAATTTGTAAAAAAATATCGCCAAACCACGGACTTAGATAATCTAATTCCGTGGCCAAACTGAACTGTGACATGACCTGGTTTGAAGTGACGTAACCCAAGCCGCCATGATGAGCCCTTCTCACTGATCGTAATTATGATCAATAAAAGGTATCTAATTATGTCTTTCACCAGGAGATATGCACCAGCGGTTACTAAACATCGAATTACTTATTAATTGATATGTTTTTGTAAGCAAGTAAATGTTTTATGTAAAATATTGCTAAAATGAATTGATGTATGCCGATATGCGCACACGTGTGTGTCATGTGTGATCAGATAATTCAAAGAAAACAAGCAACAAAATACACATTTTACGTAGTTTCTTCTTGGTTTTAAATATCATTTTACATCAATGAAAAAAAAATCATAGAAATATATTTAAAAAAAATATATTCAGAGATCGATTTTCGGAGGATGAACATCGTTTTTTTTCCAGATTTTTTGGGTGCGCAAAATATTCGAGTAGAACCGTTTTTCCCGATTTTCAGCCTCAAAAAGTACCTGCGCAAATTACACAGGTGCGCAAATTACATGGGTTTTTACGGTAATAGTGTATGGTTTTATCATTGTTATTTGGAAAACGTGTTTGTTTTGACTAAATAGCACTCACCTGTTTGATCCCAGTTGATTACGAGATCAGCTGGTATAAGACACACACATACATGAATACAGTTCACCTTTATTTTCATCTGTCCAATGACCAGTTGGTACGCATACGTAACATGTACTCAGTAGCTAAAGTATTTTTACCTGTACACATTTTGTAAGGTAAGGAAAATAACTATGCAGAGAAAACGTCGGTCTACCACGACCGCGTAAATTACCCCCGCGGGTATAGTTTTGACTTTCAAATTGCGTAATTTTCACCCAGCGTAAATAACCATGTTTATAGTACTACTAGTCCTTCTGGGATACATCACATGTATGACTGTGTGACCTATTTGTGCCGTGTCAATCCATTGTTCCTACCAGTTGTCCTAGGGTCAGATATAACCCAGAACAAGGACGTACAATCAATCAATCATGTTCCTACTTACAACATCATTATTTGTCTCCAGGACCGGTGAGTGGTCCAGCTCTGCCACGGTCTTCCATGTAATGTGGTTCAGAATCCTCACCTGCAAATAGTAAATGAAGTTTATAGAATTATTATGGAAACTGTCAACCTAGAGAATGTCTCTGGTGATTTCTGGACATTTCCATTCGTTTTGTAATTTCACATTAATTATTTTTTTACGATTTGAATACTACAGGTTAGTACGCATTTTAAAAATGGTCTAAAGCACCATCATGCAATGTTTTCTTCAGATTTCTGAATTCTGGTGAAGATATTTTATTCTTCCAAATTTCATCTTTTTGACCAAAGCTAAGCTACAACTGAATTTTTCATTTTAAAACAATTATGAAAAAAAGTTCCAACATCTTATATTAATCACTCTTCTTGGCCGAGGTGGAAGCTGCAGGGGGTCTTAATGGGGAGGAAACTTAAGTACTTGAAGAAAACCCAGGTGGTTGGCAAGGTGATCCTTAACCTTCCCACATCCGATCAGAATTTTTTATTTTTTTCTTGTATCGCTATATTTTAACTGAAGTCCCAATCACATCTCCTTGCAAACAGCATTCAAAAGTATTTCTTCAAAAGGTCATAGCATACTTTCCAGAGGATTAAAACCAAAATTTCTACTTTTACAAAATTTTCCTTGATAATGTCCAAGCTACAGTTGGACAGAAAGAGCAATATCATCAAAGGGAGATAATCACAGCGGACAAAATAAGTTGTCACATTTCTTAACAATTTCCTCACAATAACTGACCCGAGTAGAGGTCAACTGCTTCATAGGATACCGTTACAAACCGGTATACAACAGTTTTCATAGTAACAATACCCTGGGTTGTTATCTGTGTCATCGCTATCTCTAATCCACGCCATGGAATAGCTACTACACACACCCATCAAATTCAAATAACAAAGTAAGGATTTGGGAGAAGTGTTTCTCATCTAATTGGAAAAATATAGCTACCTATGGAATTATATGCACAATCATATTTCAATTTTAATTATACTTGTTTATTATTTTAGTTTGGAATTTTTATTCCTAGCTTAATTTGACACAAAAATTTAAAAAAAAATCCATGATGAAATTTCGCTTGTAACTGTAAATGGCAGACTTTTGAGCATATAGTTACCATACATAATAAACATGCTAATGACTCAGGAACTGTTAGGAAAAATAGTTTGAAGAGTCCTTCGAGTCAAACACGTGTACCCCAGGTGACGCCAGATAACCTTAGTAGTGCTGGTTCCCTTCAGTGATTTTACAGAAGGGGACATCTCTACTGTACTCATTATTCTACACATTCACACACATACCAGACACACCTGTAGCGTGTAGCGTCCCTCTTACGACATGTACCAACAGGACATGCTTACTGGCGGCACAATTCAGACAGAAAAGTGTTTTATCATTATTATTTTCATGCTTTAGTACTTATTACCCGTAACAATTTACACCATTTAAATCTCTGTTTTATCTTTCTTATCTCTGACAACTTCTATATATAGCCAGTATCCAATGTCTGTCAACTCTTCAAAGGATCGGATTTAAAAAATCAGTGTCTAAGTTTATTAACTAGTGCATTTTACAATTTGAGAAATACAATATATTGTCTGTATCTGTATAGATTTAGACCTGAAAATTGGTATACCTGCTAAGGCTGTGAAAATATAAAAGTTTACTTTCAACTGTAACCATGACTGTTAATTATCCTAACTTTCTGTGGCTATCAATTTTTAAACAAGCACCATGGCAACAATTTTCATAAATGTTCAGTTGTATAAACTTATAATTTCATTTAAGAAAGAAAATCTTTTAACCTTTACTGCCCCTTATAAGTCCTCTCTATGGGTACTGTCACCTACACTTCCCCATCCATGTTATCAATATTTTCCCCTGTATTGCCCCTCCAGAACCCTCTCTATGGGGATGGTCACCTGCACTTCCCCATCCATGTTATCAATATTGTCACCTGTATTGCCCCTCCAGAACCCTCTCTATGGGCATGGTCACCTACACTTTCCCATCCATGTTATCAATATTTTCCCCTGTATTGCCCCTCCAGAACCCTCTCTCTGGATACTGTCACCTGCACTTCCCCATCCATGTTATCAATATTGTCACCTGTATTGCCCCTCCAGAACCCTCTCTATGTGTATGGTCACCTGCACTTCCCCATCCATGTTATCAATATTTTCCCCTGTATTGCCCCTCCAGAACCCTCTCTCTGGGTATGGTCACCTGCACTTCCCCATTCATGTTATCAATATTTTCACCTGTATTGCCCCTCCAGAGCCCTCTCTATGGGTACTGTCACCTACACTTCCCCATCCATGTTATCAATATTTTCCCCTGTATTGCCCCTCCAGAACCCTCTCTCTGGATACTGTCACCTGCACTTCCCCATCCATGTTATCAATATTTTCCCCTGTATTGCCCCTCCAGAACCCTCTCTCTGGGTATGGTCACCTGCACTTCCCCATTCATGTTATCAATATTTTCACCTGTATTGCCCCTCCAGACCCCTCTCTATGGGTACTGTCACCTGCACTTCCTCATCCATGTTATCAATATTTTCACCTGTATTGTCCCTCCAGAACCCTCTCTATGGGTATGGTCACCTACACTTCCTCATCCATGTTATCAATATTTTCACCTGTATTGCCCCTCCAGAACCCTCTCTCTGGATACTGTCACCTGCACTTCCCCATCCATGTTATCAATATTGTCACCTGTATTGCCCCTCCAGAACCCTCTCTATGTGTATGGTCACCTGCACTTCCCCATCCATGTTATCAATATTTTCCCCTGTATTGCCCCTCCAGAACCCTCTCTATGGGCATGGTCACCTACACTTCCCCATCAATGTTATCAATATCCATCCATGTTATCAATATTTTCACCTGTATTGTCCCTCCAGAACCCTCTCTATGGGTATGGTCACCAGCACTTCCCCATCCATGTTATCAATATTTTCACCTGTATTGTCCCTCCAGAACCCTCTCTATGGGTATGGTCACCAGCACTTCCCCATCCATGTTATCAATATTTTCACCTGTATTGTCCCTCCAGAACCCTCTCTATGGGTATGGTCACCTGAACTTCCCCATCCATGTTATCAATATTTTCACCTGTATTGTCCCTCCAGAACCCTCTCTATGGGTATGGTCACCAGCACTTCCCCATCCATGTTATCAATATTTTCACCTGTATTGCCCCTCCAGAACCCTTTCTATGGGTATGGTCACCTGCACTTCCCCCTCCATGTTATCAATATTTTCACCTGTATTGCCCCTCCAGAGCCCTTTCTATGGGTATGGTCACCTGCACTTCCCCATCCATGTTATCAATATTTTCATCTGTATTGCCCGTCCAGAACCCTCTCTATGGGTATGGTCACCTGCACTTCCCCATTCATGTTATCAATATTTTCACCTGTATTGCCCCTCCAGAACCCTCTCTATGGGTATGGTCACCTACACTTCCCCATCAATGTTATCAATATTGTCACCTGTATTGCCCCTCCAGAACCCTCTCTATGGGTACTGTCACCTGCACTTCCTCATCCATGTTATCAATATTTTCACCTATATTGCCCCTCCAGAACCCTCTCTATGGGTATGGTCACCTGCACTTCCCCATCCATGTTATCAATATTTTCACCTGTGTTGCCCCTCCAGAACCCTCTCTATGGGTACTGTCACCTAAACTGCCCCATCCATGTTATCAATGTCACCTGTATTGCCCCTAAAGAGTCCTCGCTACTGTCAATATTATCACCTATACTCCCCCCATCCCCCCTTGTTATGGGCACTTTTGACTGCACTGCTCCCTACCTTTCCTATCTGAAATGTCACCTGCACTATGTGTCGCTGACAATTTATGTGTTTGTACTACACAATGTAGCAGACATTTTACAATTACCTGCAGCCGACCACATCTTCATCAATCTCGGACTCTCTATCAGCTAAAATGTAATTACTATGACTAAACTAATTACCAAAATAATTAACTTCCCCCTCTAGTTCGCCACCTTACAGTAAGAGTCCTTCACTTTGGATGAAAATAAATTAAGATATCAAATTCCACACAAGATGTTGATTTTCATGTCCTCCACCCTACTGAAGTTGTTTAAATCTTCTTGACTTTAAATCTTCGCAGGAAACTTTTAAAAACAATTACATTGTATTCTCAAAAAGAGTTAATTTATAGACTAGACTTAAGTTAAAGGGTTCAGAATAAAACATCAAACAAAAGGTAAGACGTAGTCTCGGCTAATAACAAAGCCATCGAAATGCGAAGGCATTTACACACGATTTTTTACTTATCATAGCAAAACATGCATCCTGCTGAGAAGGTCAGGGGTCAAATTGATTAGCATATCTGTTAATGGAACATGGCATACCCCATCTAAATGTCCATTATTCATCAGTGAATGGTATTATTAAGCCGATCATCTGCAAATATTTACACCAATAGGGTTAGCTTTAAATGTAGGTACACTGTATCACAACAACATAACTTGATGTTGCTGATTCAGGAGCTACTAGAAATCTTTGATCAAGGTAAGCAAATCAAATCTCTACAACTTACCAGTTTCTCTTTAGGTACATAATGTTATACTGTACTCTTGTTTTATAGGTTTTGTTCAGAAAAAAAACCCACGAAGAGTACCGTGGGGTGGAACAATATACGCCCCTCGAATGCCATATAGTGTTATATACTTTCTTACATTGAAATAAGATCTACATCATTCTAAGAGTGGTTAACTGACATGCTATAAAAAATGTAGGAGAAATTTCCGGACAAACAAAAGTTTACGCCGGACGGACGACGCCATACCATAATACTCCCGTCAAATCTGCATGGAATTGATCGACTTTAAGAATCATCTTTTTGCAAATAGACAGTATCTAAGTAGATCCAACCAATGTTTTTTTAACAGCTTTACATATAAAAAAAAATATAAAAAATAACATTAAGGATATATAGTTTAATTATCTATGGATTTGCATAACAACAAATTTAAAATTCAGCACACATTTTGTCATAGAATTGAATTTCATTAAAGAAGAAAACAGTTTTCTAAATGTGCTTTATGGTCAAAAAACAATATAAAACAAAAAGAGAAGAAAAACAAGCATTTCTACCAAATTGATCACATCCTAGCATTGCTCCTTGTGACATCACACTGCATGTTAAATACGTAATAAATATGATAGTGTTAGGAATCGGTTGAAATTTTATGATCAATCTGTTATTAATAGTCCAGGGGGACAATGAGCAGGCTTCAAAGTAAAAATAAGTCGGTGATGATGTCAACATAGAAACTGGAAATTACTATTGGAGACTTCTGGTGGAAACTTTTGTTAGTATCAAGCAAGGAGATGGGCTTCAAATCATGTATCACTCTACTGAAAACTGCATAATAATACCTACATATAGTTATTTTGACTATAATCGATCATAAAGTCTGTAGTCCGTTAATCAGATTATTGGCTTAATTCCAATTACTGAATCCAATAACTGACCAAAAATTGACAAAGTCAATTAATTGGAATATTACTATAATAAGACATCTCACTTTGTAGTATTTACGAGTGTTATGTAACGATGTTGGGAGGTGAATGCCATTACACTGCATGGCATGTGATCAATTTAATATTTTCAGAACGTTTATCTAGATAAGCGTTTATATTAACAGGTTTTTATGATTTAAATAAAGTTGTATTCATGTCAACAAGCAACGTATCGGTGGCACTACAATTTGATAAGAAAAAAGTTTAAGAGGGGAAAAAATCACTTTCAGTAGTACTGTGACCATACTTCTTTTTTTTATGTAACTCTTAATTGTAGGTGTCACTCTAATCATTTAAAAGTTCAATATATAAATCGGGTGTCAACAATTATCACTGCATTCAGATGTCAGTCAGCCATGCATGTGTTATGTATCGGTAACGATACCATTGACGTACATAACGATGGTAAATACGGCGGAGACCTTTTGTACGACCGAATCACTGAAAGTAAATCTCCTCCTGGTCCATTAACATCTTACATCATTAACTCAGCGAGCAAGGTGCTTGGTACAAGGGGAGTTAAACGTTTAATGGGAAAGTACTTTATACACCTGTAATGGTGTGAATTGTGGCCTAGCATTCTATGTTTTCTAAATGAGCTGACAAAGTATATTATAAAGATTGCTTAAAGAGTGCATTTCTGTGTATTTAAATGGCAATGAAATACATTTGACCACGACCTGATCCCAGGGTCACAATACAGTCTTAAAACTTAAACCTAAGCTTCAAATGTCGTTAAAATAACTCTTGGGATCACTTTAAATTTGAGGAAAACAGTCTACTGAAGACCAAATGTTGACATGGAAATGATATGTGCAGGACACACAAACATACTAGTCACCTTTCAAATTTTTTTATGACAAAAAAACATGTGGCAAAAAGTCACCCTGTAAAACTGTAACAGACAAAAGAGCAAAATTTACTAGAAACAAAAGCCCTCTCTCCGAGCTGGCTACTGGCCAAATATCATAACCCTGGGCCTTATAGTTTTATCTTGAGAAGAAGTCTTCAAATTTTACCATATTTGACCATAGGTCAAGTTAAAATATTTAACAAAATACCCCTCCATCTCAGCCAGTTGCAGATCAAATATTACCATAAGTGTTCTGGGTAAAGGTAATTTATTTGAACTTCTTTGCAACAAAAAATATCCTACCCCCAGGCATTATAGAAACTGAGAATAAGTTATTAAAAGATTTTAACATATTTGACCCTTTTGACCTTGACTGAAGGTCAAGGTTATTTACCTGAACAAAATTGACAGCACTCTTCAGCTAGCTGCAGTTTGATTATTGCAAGTTTGATTATTGTATACAGTAAAATGCTGGGATTCCAGTTTAAAATGGAAACTTTACCATATTTACCCTGTAATAAGCCCATGTCTGCTAATAAGCTCACCCATATATATAACAGCAGTAAATTGATCCTTACGGATGAAGAAATAATATAAAAAGAAATCAAAATCTCAACAACATGTCATCAGCACTTTCATCTCATCCAGGAGATTCTTCAGATATATATAGGCAGGTCAATAGAAAACAAATGTTTTTCAATGTCCTGTAATAAACACACACACCTACTTAGGTAGGAAATGATATGTTGGCTCTCGGGGACATTTTGTAGGATAAATACTGTAACATTTTACCAAAACAAAGTTTACTATAATGGATTCTAACACAGTGATCACCACTGTTATAGAAATACGTGCCTATATGGTAACATGCATAACAACTATTAACTCCAATAGTTATGCAATTAATTCTTTCATAGATACCACAAATCATTATTATCTTAATAATAAAACTAAATACATGCACATATATTTTCTTCACATTTAAGTGACAAATAGGTATATTATGTCTTTAAAAAGATCTTATGCAGAATGGCAATGTAACAGATAGCCCTATTACCTAAGATGATTGGAGACTAATTAGAAAGATGATGATAGATGTCATATTTAGTTAAGAATAGTCATTAAATAAGTTCTTAAGTATAAATAATAATTTAACAGCCAGTCAATTTAATATGTTCATAAGGAATGCCATTAGTATAAATACATGCATACTGTAATAAACATATGCAAAGAATTACTTTAACTCATTCACCCCTGAAGACACATTTGAACTCTTCCAATTCAAAGGTTGGAATAGTTCATTATGAAATTTTAGGGGTGAATGAGTTAAGGATTCTTGTCCATCTGCAGGCAAAACACTTGAAAATTCCACAATAGGTTTTTTTACGTATATTTAGCAATATGTCCCCTCATTAATGTTTTGAATATAAGGAGCATGACTGGGGCAGTCTACTACCTTTGACCAAGTAGCTGAGTTGGTTTGAGTGACAGTACAGTGATCAGAGGTCCAGGGTTTAAGTCCTGGTATGGCCCTATTGCATTTCCTCTTTCATAACTATGTTTTTTATTTCATCTCAAATATTTTTTTCCTTAAAGTTCTACAACGTATGAATTTTTTTCCCAGAAATAATTTATTTAAGCTTTTGTCATAAAGGTAAAAAAAACTTCCAATAATTTTTTGCAGTGATGCTTGGATCCATAAAATTTGATGAAATATCGCAACTTTAATAATGCTTTTTTTAAACCATTGCACTATACAACACTGTTAATCGTAAATAGAAACATCTAAATTTCTACATTATAGGGACCTATGAATCAGGATATACATATTTTGACATAAGATGTCAATACACTGTTTCAGGTATCATTTCTTAAGACTTTGTTATCGATGATAGCCAGGTACAAAGTTAAAAGTTCTGTATGTGTTTACATACTACGACTACCTGTTGAGGAGTGACCTGCCACCAACAGACGTTCACTGAAAGGTGCACATTTGTCTTGTTAACACAGTCTATCAGTCATGTTTGTTTTTGATCCATGTTTCGATTAGTTTTTAAATCAGATATGTTTTTAAATGAAAACAACTTGTATCTAGATACAGAAAAATTTCATTCAGCTTCTTTAGATGTTCAAAATCAGGTGCTGCTATCTTGTTAACCTCAGGTTTTTTACTGGTTTTTTTTGGGAATCAATTTGCTAAGTTCTTGGGATTGGGTTGGTGTTTTTTAATGGGAAAAAATAAAATGTCTGAATTTCATTTTTATTGGGGCCCAATTCTGGCCCAGAAGATAAAGGTTGAAACCTTGAATATAAGGTGGGAACTCACAACTTCAGGGTATAAAATCCACACAAAATATTAAGAAACCAATCAAACCAAGCATAACATACACTACTGTGAGAAGGGAAAAAACTAAGCCTGAACAGAGAGACGAAAGAAAAGACAGACAAGACACAAAACAAAAGACAGACAAGATGCCTGAAAGACAGACAAGTCACATACCACAGACACACACGACACATGTATACCAGACAGAAAAGGCATATAACAAAGACAGACAAGACAGACATTACAAAGACAAACAACAGACAGACAGACAGACAGACATACAAATACTATGGTATCAAAAGAGATTTCATAATTTATTGATATCAATATAATCGTGGCCGAAATATTTCACAAACTATTACATTTACAGTTTGATAACAACTGCTCCATTTCACTTACCGCTTCCCTGATCCTATCTTACCCATACCTTAAACCAAGCCTTTGTTTATCTACATATATAACGAGTACATCAAGTTAACTTGTACTATGTTGCAATCATTATCAGTACTCGTATACGTAAAGAGCCTCCAAATCATAGGATCCCTGAGGTTGCAATCATTATCAGCCATCGGGGGCCCATACTGACCCTAAGGGGTTGCTGTAGTGTCATTATCAGCCCTGGGGCCTGAGACTCCCAGGGATGTGACAGGTCCACAGTCCCCTCAATTCACATCACAGATAAGTGATTCTCAGGCTTTGTGTAGCCCACACAAACCTCGTGCCATCAAAACACCATGCTACTCAAGGTACGTTTAAAATTTATATTCTTAATTGATTTTGTCTATGTTCATTTATAGATTTATTCTTTTATATCTAAAATCAAATTAATTACTTGATTACATCAATGACACTATTTTTCAATTTTACCCAATGGACAAGAACTTGGTGACAATACTTTATCTATCTAACTTTTGATACACTTTGCCAATAGACGACTTGATTATGAAATATGCTTTACTGTGCCAACAAGAGTGATTAATATAAGTTGAAATAACTTGTTTCATAATTGTTGTAAAATAAATAAAGTTTATATATGCAATATTTAATAGCATGACTAAGTTTAAGTTTCCTGTGCGAGTCAGGAACCAATAAGCTCAGTTCTCACAACAGATCGATCATACAAACCTTTTCGTCATAGCTGCCAACGGCAAGGAACTGACTTGTAGGGCTCCACGCCACACTTTTGATACCAAGGGAGTTGTCATAGGCACTGTATTTAGCCAGGCATCGCCCGTCTACAGAGTACAGCAGGATCTTGTACTGTAACACAAAACACATTTCTTATACTCAAAATGTTAAAATGTATCAGAAACATTCAACAAAAAAGCCCAAGATGGCAGAAATGCCTAGCGGTCAGTCCTGTGTACTTGTTGTTTTAATTTATATATACATCTGTAACAACCAACTGAAAAACTAGCTGCTTCACCCTTCACACGGCTCTTCAGGTTTATTTCAAAAGAACAACCTTGTGACGTCACAATTACATGTTATCACACTATAATAGTAACGTGACGTCACGAAGTACACAAGATTGGTGGACAAACTAGCGCAAAATTTTACTGTGGCCTGTTGAGACTTGGTTTTAATATTTTGATTAATTGGTCTTCTTTCTTTTCTCTTAGAACAGTGTCTGATGAAAGTAATTGATACAAAGGTAATGTATTAAATTTATCTCTGGCACATTCATGAATATGATTGTTAACATGTAGATTTCGTAACGATTCAGTTCTAGTTTGTTGTTTGTATATATATATATTATATGAAGAATTGAAACCCTTGCGAACAGTAGCTTGTAACAGAATCAACAAAAAAAAAAAAAAAAAAAAATCCTCAATATTCCAGTATCAAGCAGTTTTCCTGTACGACCTGGCTTAAACAATATTTTATTTCACTCATCATATATAACAAGTACACAGGTAAATAGAAATAGAATCTGGCAACAAGATTTTCAATCTTGTACTAATTAAGCCATCTCCTGTATGACTTGATATGTGTATATAAATGTTATAACCAAAACCATGAAGTATGTTATCATCATTTAGATATTGTTACTCAACAATACAAATACTCAACAGAGTGCAAGGCGAAAATATATCAACATCACTATTCATTATCATTTCCATTCAAAAACCTGTTTGTACTGGACAGCAACAGTACAAGCTTATACAACTTCCTCCTTTCAAGTAAAAGGTTGAGCTTTCATGCTGTTTGCTCTGAACAGTTCATCTAACAATAAGCCTATGCCTAGAAATAAGCCCACCCAAATATGTTGCAGTTCAGAGAAAATATCAACAAATGCAATTTCACTATTCTGTTATAAGCCTACCCCCAACTTTCAGTCTGGTTTGTTTCTTTTTCCATAAATTTGGCCCCAAAATAGCTCCCAAAAATGTCCCGAACGTCTATATAACAGTGTCTTATCAAACAGACAGTGAGGTCTAATTTTCTCACATACTTCAAAGAGTGATCCCACTTTTGCTAAGGAAGAGATAACTCTTTCTCACACGAGGTAGGGAAAGACAGCTGACACACGCGCTATGACGTCATAATAAGGTATTGTCGACGTGACGTCATTGCATTGTTGCCGTGATGTCATACAATTGTTGTGAATGGGGAATCCTCCATCTCAACCCTAGGGTTTTAGGGGTTTTGCGGAAGAATCAGATTCCTCCGTCTCAACCCTAGGGTTTTAGGGATTTTGCGGAAGAATCAGATTCCTCCGTCTCAACCCTAGGGTTTTAGGGGTTTTGCGGAAGAATCAGATCGATGTTTATTCTGACTGAAATTTGTTTTTCGGAACAGACCCATGTAAGATTCTATTAATCCAAAAGATTTAGTGGCACATGTCGTTTATACAGGTTGCAATATGACAGAATTTTAAAAAATAATTTGATTTAATACATTACAAATCAACGAAATATAAGTGGTTCTTAAAATGTTTCCACAACAAAATTGATTCCCTAAGGAAACTATATAATTTAAACGACTGTATTAGATTAAATTAAATTACTGTCAAGAAACAAACAGATGATGTAAATTGACCTTAATTACATCATTTAGTAGTTTAACCAATAAATTATAATCCATTTTCATCTGGTTTTGGCTATATAATTGCACGCCTTTTTCACAACTAGGACTATTAAAAGCTCGGATGTTGTAACATGTTGTTGCTACTGCTGGTGTTTGTGTGTGTATAATTGTACTAATTACATGAATGTAGTTTTAATTTACCCACAATCTAAGGTATCCTTCATTTGCATCATTAAAAGTAATTTTTTAATCAAATATCTCTAATTCCGACAATATACCTGGTATCAGAAATATGTTTAGACAAGCAAGTCATTTGATTTGTAACCTGTTTTTGAACCTTTCAATTTAAGGTAACTTAATACAATTGAAAATAAAAGGTCCAGTTTTCAATTTCTTAGATTTCACTTCCTCTTTCAATGTTTATAGAAAGAAAAAAATTAACAAACTTTCATCAACTGATGTAGATAATAATACCTTCCCTATCTTGATGTCAACTTAAAGTCTCATTGCTTAGGAATTTCTGTTGTAATTTCTGTAGCTATAGATTACCAGTAAGAGTAATATCATAACAGCTTCAAATCTCAATATCAATGTTTCCTACACATCATAATGTTACCTAGTACAAACCAAATAGACAAGATTGTTGGTTATCTTTAATTATAATCAGGATATATCTAAAACAATCTTCTTTTTCCAAAATCATTTCTTGGTATCTTTGTATACTCTGTGTACATCTAATGCAATCTCCTTTTCCAAAATCATTTCTAGGTATCTTTGTATACTCTGTGTACATCTAAAGCGATCTCCTTTTTCCAAAATCATTTCTTGGTATATTTGTATACTCTGTGTACATCTAAAGCAATCTCCTTTTCCAAGATCATTTCTTGGTATCTTTGTATACTCTGTGTATATCTAAAAAAATCTCCTTTTCCAAAATCATTTCTTGGTATCTTTGTATTCTCTGTGTACATCTAAAGCAATCTCCTTTTCCAAAATCATTTCTAGGTATCTTTGTATACTCTGTGTACATCTAAAACAATCTCCTTTTCCAAAATCATTTCTTGGTATCTTTGTATGCTCTGTGTACATCTAAAGCAATCTCCTTTTTCCAAAATCATTTCTAGGTATCTGTGTATACTCTGTGTATATCTAAAGCAATCTCCTTTTTCCAAAATCATTTCTAGGTATCTTTGTATACTCTGTGTATATCTAAAACAATCTCCTTTTTCCAAAATCATTTCTTGGTATCTTTGTATGCTCTGTGTACATCTAAAGCAATCTCCTTTTTCCAAAATCATTTCTTGGTATATTTGTATACTCTGTGTACATCTAAAGCAATCTCCTTTTTCCAAAATCATTTCTAGGTATCTGTGTATACTGTGTGTATATCTAAAGCAATCTCCTTTTTCCAAAATCATTTCTAGGTATCTTTGTATACTCTGTGTACATCTAAAACAATCTCCTTTTCCAAAATCATTTCTTGGTATCTTTGTATTCTCTGTGTACATCTAAAGCAATCTCCTTTTCCAAAATCATTTCTAGGTATCTTTGTATACTCTGTGTATATCTAAAGTAATCTCCTTTTTCCAAAATCATTTCTTGGTATCTTTGTATGCTCTGTGTACATCTAAAGCAATCTCCTTTTCCAAAATCATTTCTAGGTATCTTTGTATACTCTGTGTATATCTAAAAAAATCTCCTTTTCCAAAATCATTTCTTGGTATCTTTGTATACTCTGTTTACATCTAAAGCAATCTCCTTTTCCAAAATCATTTCTAGGTATCTTTGTATACTCTGTGTACATCTAAAGCAATCTCCTTTTTCCAAAATCATTTCTAGGTATCTGTGTATACTCTGTGTATATCTAAAGCAATCTCCTATTTCCAAAATCATTTCTTAGTATCTTTAAGTATACTCGGTGTGTATGTAAAACAATGCCCTTTAAATTTCATACCTGAGAGCTTCGCTATAAATAAACATAATCATTCTAAAAAGTCCCTTACAAAACCGGAACCAAATGTGGAGTCTTCCAGTACCTTAAGTACAATGATTAGACATAGACTTCTGAGAATAGTTTAGTTTCCAGGTGCTACAGTTTTTGTTTAACCAATCAGCAGTTACCGATATGCTTTGCATGCGGATATGTTTTTCTTTAACCTTTTACTACAATCAGATTCATGAACTTTTTTCCTGGTGTGAAATTCTGCTATAGGTTCAACCGTTAACCTACATACTTTTCCGGCCAGCCATAATCTACATATTAGCGAAACGTTGAAATCCAATGACCCAAAATCCTCCAGTAAATCAGTTAATAGAATTCAATATGCTCAGTTGCATAATTTTAAGTTATAACAATACCTTGCGATACCCTTAGACATCCCAATACACGGTTACATCCTTGGGTACATCTAGTACCCATTAACACAGAAATTTAAACCGTTTGTTAATCTATCACTGTCTGAATGATTATTCATTCCTTGGGTGGTCCAATAGTCTTATCTGAGGTGTCAACTTTGTAATTAAAACAGATTTGACCTGAAAATGGTAACATGTACTTTTGTAGGAGCGATTTACCAGTAGATGCAGTATAAGCTACTAAATATCTGAATAAGTATTTAAATCCTTTATGAAGATATGACCTTCACTTCGACAGAATATAACCTTGATATACATTCATTGTAACAGGTATCTTTTATCAGTCCACTAATTATGCAAATTACTGCAAATAAATGCTAATGTACACAATTGCACTTCAATTCTAATACATTGTATATAAAATATTCCATTAAACTTGATTGACTCAATGATAACCCTCCAAATCTGTATATGATCCGCGAAATTTCAGATAGCAGAACTTATTTCCCAGTAAACAAGGAGTTATCAATTAAAAGTATGTCAATCGACCATAGGCTGGCGTATATGTATATCTGATAGCAGATCAACCAGAAAAATAACAACATCTTATCAGGGTCAAAATAGAAACATTTGTAACAAGATTGCATTTCTCATCTAGCAGTACACTCCATTACACTCAACTTTCTTTTTAAATTTTAACCTCAAATTTATGTACCGTTTAGTTGGTTAGTTTCGCAGGGCTAATATTTCACTCAGTCACTCAGTTGTCCCGATCAGAACTAGTTTGTGGGGATAAAGTTTCCCACAGCATGGCCAGGTAAAAATGTATCGCTCACAATGGTATTTCTGCATTTCGGCGATGAGATTTATTATCATGATGTTATTTTAGTGTTTGGTGAAAATAAAGTAAAATATGTTGTATTATTACCTGTTGTTTATCTTCAATATTGTGCAGTCAATAGGTGGTTTTAGGTATGTGATACAGTGCAATAGTTCCCTTTGTGTTGCTACTGGTATCATGATAGCCCAAATTTAAAGTAAGTTAAATCTTTATATATAAATATATATTCACTGAGACCATAACTCATTGTGTTAATATTTGCTAGGTATTTAATTTCACAATATCTTTGGTGAAAGTAAAAATAGAAAAAAAAAATCCCCTGCAAATATTACCGACTTTATAGTATATCATTTCTTATGGTAAAACTTTTAATTGATCGGGTAAACAAATAAACAATTTCCATACTTGCCAAATTTTGAAATTTTCAT